TCAGTAATTCCTTGGTTAGGATCCGGGGACACCCTGGTCCTCGAAGACACCATTCAGGTCCCTGGAACATCATGCCTCCAATTATCCCAGCTGTTAGCAACACCTGGGCAATCCCAAGAGAATGTGGATCGATTCCATTTTTTCCCCCTGAAAGATAAATATTAAAAAGAAAAAAAGCGCATCTCAACGCCAGAGAACGCCAGAAGAAGAGTTGGAGGCTGCCCGCCTGAAGGACAAGCCCACAGAGTCAGCACGGAGCCAGAAGATCAGGCACCAGCGCCCCCTGCCGGACAGCCCCAAAACGCCTTTGCCCCTAGGAGGGAGCGTGCTTCCGGGGCGCATGCGTGAAGTCACCGCAGGGGCCTCCCCGCTGCTCAGGCGGAGGTCTGGTGACCTGGGATCCTGTGAGCGAGGCGCGTGAATTCTGGCCAGGTGCACTTGGGAGCATCTCGGGCCCCTGGTGTCCGTAGGTAGCCAGTCACCTGCTTTACGCCGCTGAGCCGGAATCTTCCCTTCCCGGGTTCTGCTGCTCCAAGGAGCAGATGTCTGCCTTTGACATTTCGTAGAGATGGCAGAGGCAGAGGACGTGAAGGCGTACATCCCTCCTACGACGCGGTGGGGTCAGATTGCCAGGTGTTGCTAAAGGGGAAGGCTCCTGGTGCCCCTTGCAGAATTTTTGTGGACTTAGATCTTCCCTGGTGGCTCAGGCGGTAAAGCGTTTGCCTATAATGCGGGTAAAGCCGGGTTCAACCCCTGGGTCGGGAAGATGCCCTGAAGAAGGGGAATACTCCAGTATTCTTGTCTGGAAAATCCCATGGACGGAGGAGCCTGACGGGCTAGTCCGTGGGGTCGCAAAGAGTCGGACACGACTGAGCGACTTCACTTTCTTTTTCAAGTTTGTACTAAGTAGTTGTAATTATTGTTTCGGGGGGACAGGGAACTTTCAAGTAATGTACCTGTCCTTCAGTTCAGTTCAGTCGCTCAGTCGTGTCCGACTCTTTGTGACCCCATGGACTGCAGCACGCCAGGCCTCCCTGTCCATCACCAACTCCTGGAGTTTACTCAAACTCATGTCCATTGAGTAGGTGATGCCATCCAACCATCTCATCCTCTGTCGTCCCCTTCTCCTCCTGCCCTCAATCTTTCCCTGCATCAGGGTCTTTTCCAATGAGTCGGTTCTTCGCATAAGGTGGCCAAAGTATTGGAGGTTCAGCTTCAGCATCAGTCCTTCCATTGAATATTCAGGACTAATTTCCTTTAAAAGGACTGGTTGGATCTCCTTGCGGTCCAAGGGACTCTCAAGAATCTTCTCCAACACCACAATTCAAAAGCCTCAATTCTTCAATGCTCAGCTTTCTTTATAGTCCAACTCTCACATCCGTACATGACTACTGGAAAAACCATAACCTTGACTAGATGGACCTTTGTTGGCAAAGTGGTCTCTGCTTTTTAATATGCTGTCTAGGTTGGTCATAACTTTCCTTCCAAGGAGTAAGCATCTTTTAATTTCATGGCTGCAGTCACCATCTGCAGTGATTTTGGAGCCCCCCAAAATAAATTCTGACAGTGTTTCCACTGTTTCCCCATCTATTTTCCATGAAGTGATGGGACTGGATGCCATGATCTTAGTTTTCTGAATGTTGAGTTTTAAGCCAACATTTTCCCTCTCCTCTTTCACTTGCGTCAAGAGGCTCTTTAGTTCTTCTTCACTTTCTGCCATAAGGGTGGTGTCATCTGCAGATCTGAGGTTATTGCTATTTCTCCCAACAATCTTGAGTCCAGCTTGTGCTTCATCCAGCCCAGCATTTCTCATGATGTACTCTGCATAGAAGTTAAATAAGCAGGGTGACAATATACAGCCTTGACGTACTCCTTTTCCTAATTGGAACCAGTCTGTTGTTCCATGTCCAGTTCTGTTGCTTCCTGACCTGCATACAGGTTTCTCAAGAGGCAGGTCAGGTGGTCTGGTATTCCCATCTCTTTCAGAATTTTCCACACTTTATTGTGATCCACACAGTCAAAGGCTTTGGCATAGTTAGTAAAGCAGAAATAGATGTTTTTATGGAACTCTCTTGCTTTTTCAATGATGCAGTGGATGTTGGCAATTTGATCTCTGGCTGCTCTACCTTTTCTAAAACCAGCTTGAACATCTGGAAGTTCACTGTTCCTGTATTGCTGAAGCCTGGCTTGGAGAATTTTGAGCATTACTTTACTAGCGTGTGAGATGAGTGCAATTGTGCGGTAGTTTGAGCTTTCTTTGGCATTGCATCAATTCTTCTTATGTCCTATTAACTCTTGGCTGCCTGGTAGCTTTAATGGAATTTCACAATGATATATTGTTGGGTTTCCCTGATATACAACTTTCTTTAAAAAAAAAAATCTGTGCTTGTTACTTTTATATAGGTGCCAAAAGTAATCATCAGTTCTGCTAGATAGTAGATAAGTTTTTTTTTTTTTGTTTTTTTAATGCACTTTGTCAAATTAATGTGCAGGGGGTAGGGCTGGCTTTGATTTTGTTAATCCAAACTTAATTTGGTTTTATGAGGTTAATTTTAGAATTTTCGATTTTGTTTTGATTGACTTGAGAAAACTATTATTTATACCGGAATTACTTTTACAAATAAAAATGGTTATGTAGCCAATGTTTCCTGCTAACACTCTTGCTTTCTATAGATTCAATCAATTATGTTAAACATAACTTGATTTGAGACTAAGACTTTCTTTTAAAGATTTATCATTTCTTTATAGAAGATTTCAGTTCAAGATATTTTTCAGATTAATACATTGACAAACTGTCATCATGGGATAAACATCATGCAATCATACTGAATAATTTTACATTTAAGGACGTCTATATATGTAGTACATTGGTTTGGTTGGTTAGTCACCAAGTCGTGTCTGACTCTTTTGTGACCCTCTGGACTGTATGTAACCTGCCAGGCTCCTCTGTCAGTGAGACTTCCCGGGCAAGAACACTGGAGTGGGTTGCCATCTCCCTCTCCAGGGGATTCTCCCAACCCAGGGATCACACCTCTGTCTCGGCATTGGCAAGCAAGTTCTTTACCACTGAGCCACCAGGGAAGCCCATAATCATTGGTAAAAGTCTAAAAAATCTATATTGCCTATTACATTTTAGTTTCTTACAGCTTGTATGGTGTCTTTTACATTATATAATGTAGGCAGACTATCTAACTTGTTTTCTTTATTGATGACTAATACTTTGATTCATTTTCAGAGAAAATTTCTTAATTATGAGGTTGAAAACTCTGTACTTCTCTAGGTCACTGTGTTAATAGTTCAGTGTCTAAATCTGACAGCTGTCTGGGAAGAAAGCTTATAAATCTCCATTATTGTAGTCTATGTTTTCATATTACACTTGAGATCAATGTGTTTTTCATTAAAATAGTGTACAGAGTAAAGATGTTTTAGCAGTCTAGCCTTGCTGAAAGTAACATGGCATCACCTGGCCCCCTTGGTGGCCTGTTGCCATGTTGGTATCATGCTTGGTAGGGTACTGCATCCCAGTCTGGAAGTGGCTGGGGAAGTCAGAAAGTAAGGTACAGCTGGTCCATCTGGCTGTGTGGTGGCCGCGGAGGAAGGACTGGCATTTCCAGGGCAGCAGACAGGGCACCAGGGAGGTGGGCAGCAGGGAGGGAACCTGAGAAGGCATGTAAGACTCGCATCCATGAAAACCATTTGGATTCTTCCCTATGTGTGTATCTAAGATCTATCCACGTTTCCTTGTAGTTCTGCTTTATCCCTTTTGTTTTCTCCCTAGCATTGGATAATATGTAGCATAATATACTTACTGACTCGCTTAGTGATGGCCACATAAGTTGCCTCCAACTGTTTTACCAAGATAAACAATGCATGTGCCCCCCACCTCCACCCATTCCTCCATCCGAGTCTGACTCCTCAAGGAACACCCAACACACAGGATCAACCTGAGTAATAGCAGTTAGTAAATATTTAATCATCACTTTTGAAACTGGTTTATGCAGGATCTCAACCAGGTTGTGTGTTTATCTGAGTGGGTCAATTTGCTGAAAGTAGATTTACAGAAAGCCACTTGCATGATGAAAAAAATTTGTCAAAATCCAATTTGCCAAAAACGAATGCTCTAAATTACCAATTCCATGCACGCTTTAGACCTATTAAAAAGTCTTCAAAGCCTTCTGTGAGGTAAGGCAAGAAGCAGGGGCACAGTGTGAGTGTACAAAAATACAGATGAACTGCAAACTCTGTTTAAGAAAAATCTCACCTGTCTTTGTACCAAATGGCCTGCAAAACTAATGCTCTGAAAAAAATCTAATTGGCAAACTCACTTTCAGTTGCTAGTAACAGGCACAGAAATACAAATAAAACTGGTTTTATTTCCTAATAAGCTGTCTAGAGATAGGCAGGGGCTAGTGTTGGATCAGTGGTTCAAATGCTTGAAGACTGGCATCTCTGTGGCTCTCTTGACCCCTCCTTCCTTTGTGGCTGAAAGGACTATTGCAGCTCCAGTGATCATTTTGGTGTTTGTGACAGAAGAGAGGGAAGAGGTGCCCTAGTTGCATCTATCACTTTAATCAGGGAAGCAAAATTTTTTCCAGAGGTTCCATGGCCAAAGCTGTGTCCCCCCGCCACCCTAGCTGCCAGAGAGACTGAGACAGTGAGCCTTTAGCTTTTCCAGGTTCTTTAGTGGACACAGATACAGGGGGAAGGGGTTGGGGATGGGTGGCAAGATGGACCACCCACGTTATAATATAATTAACTTCTCTTTCAAAACAGGTAGCTTGTAAGTCAAGAAATGTCTACCAACAATTTTAAGATTATAAATTAAAACTCAGTTCTAATCGTGACATATTTTTAACAGATGCATTTCTGCTACATTGCTTTTCCTCTTTTTCCTCCCTAACATTCTAGAGTGGGACTAAAGTCAAATTAATCTTTCAAGCAAAAGAGAGGAAAAAGTCAAAAGACCAACAGTGGCAAAATGCTTTCAGCCACTCCCCTGCTCACTGTCCTTCCACACCAAACAACATCTGGAAAACATTCCCACATCCGTTGGCATTCAAAAACTGATACAGCTGACCAAAGTCCATGTGGTTTCCTCTGGCTCCATTAACACTGAATACTTTTTCTTCAAAAACTGAAAATTTTCTTCGTCTCTCCATGTCCTCACTTGTACCATCAAAAGGAATGTCTTCTCGATGGCGAATTAAAATTCTCTTCCAGTTTAATTTTCTGAGCCTGAAAGGAAATTTTCAGAGTAGAAATTTTGAAGATGTGTATTCTAAAGCCCTGAAAGTAGAAGTTATAAAATAGATTTATCAATGCCTTTTCCTAGAAGTAAAGAAATGTCCTTTTATCTCACACGGATTTTAATTAAATATGATTCCAGTAATACATGATCAGTCATGTCTGTTTTGCAATGCTATGAACTGTAAGCCCACCAGGATCCTCTGTCCAAGGGCTTTTCCAGGCAAGAATACTGGAATGGGTTGCCATTTCCTCCATATCCCATCCACAAACTCATTTACTGCCATTATCACTGCCTGGTATCAGCATTTTACAAATGTAGAAATTCCTGAATCTCGACCTCTTGAAGGGGCTTGACATTTAGGGTATCAGTAGAGAAATAAGATTCCCTGGTGGCTCAGATGGTAAAGAATTTGCTGCAATGCAGGAGACCTGGATTCAGTTCCTGGGTCAGGAAGATCCCTGGGAGAAGGGAATGGCAGCCCACTCTAGTATTCTTGCCTGGAGAATTCCATGGACGCAGGAGCCTGGCAGGCTACAGTCCATGGGGTCGCTATAAGTCAGACACAACTGAGTGACTGACACTTTTAATTTCTCACTTTCATAGAAATAAGATTAGAAATCTCCTTGTTCCATAGGGTACACTCAACTTACAGCATCGCTAAGATGAGAGAAGAATCAGATCCATAGAAATGGAGGGGACAGTAGACAGTGTTGTGGGCAGGGGCGGGATTTAACATCTATCTATAGAACATCTTCTCTGTGCCGTGTGTCAGGTGAGGGGAGTACGCTGACCAAATGTGAGTGCTGTTTTAGACTAAATCCTGATATGACTTCAGGGACACACAGATTTCCACATCTCTAGTATCACGTGATACATGACACAGTGACAGACTTTTTTTTTCTTGGGCTTCAAAATCACTGCAGATGGTGACAGCAGCCATGAAATTAAAAGATGTTTGCTCCTTGGACAAACAGCTATGACAAACCTAGACAGCATATTAAAAAGCAGAGACATTACTTTGCCAATAAAGGTCTGTCAAAGCTATGGTTTTCCCAGTAGTCATGTATGGATGTGAGAGTTGGACTATAAAGAAAGCTGAGCACCAAAGAATTGCTGCTTTCGAACTGTGGTGTTGGAGAAGACTCTTGAGAGTCCCTTGGACTGCTAGAAGATCCAACCGGTCCATCCTAAAGGAAATCAGTTGTGAATATTCATTGGAAGGACTGATGCTGAAGCTGAAGCTCCAATACTTTGGCCACCTGATGTAAAGCACTGACTCATTGGAAAGGACCCTGATGCTGGGAGAGATTGGGGGCAGGAGGAGATGAGGACGACAGAGGATGACATGGCTGGCTGACTCATCACCAACATGAGTTTGAGCAAGCTCCGGGAGTTGGTGATGGACAGGGAAGCCTGGCGTGCTGCAGTCCATGGGGTCGCAAACAGTCAGTCACAACTGAGGGACTGAACTGAACTGAGTATCATGTTGCAGACTGTAATAACTGACAAGGCAGACAGAAGTTGTGAAAGCCTTGGACTTCTCTGGTGGTTCAGTGGATAAGAATCCACCTGCCAGTGCACGGTTCGATCGCTGGTCCAGCGAGATTCTACATACTGTGAAGCCACTAAGCCCATGAGCCACAACTCCTGAAGCCTGCATGCTTTCGGGCCCGCGAGCCACAACTCCTGAAGCCTGCATGGCTTAGGGCCCATGAGCCACAACTCCTGAAGCCTGCATGCTTTTTGGGCCCACGAGCCACAACTCCTAAAGCCTGCATGGCTTAGGGCCCGCAAGCCACAACTCCTGAAGCCTGCATGCTTTAGGGCCCACAAACCACAACTCCTGAAGCCTGCACAGCTTAGGGCCCATGAGCCACAACTCCTGAAGCCCACGCCTGGTGCCCTAGAGCCAGCAAGTCACAACTACTGAGCCCGTGTGTCTAGAGCCTGTGCTCTGCGATGAGAAGCCACAATGAGAAGCCCACAGAGCACAACTAGAGAGAAGTGCCCACTCGCTGTAAGAGGAGAGAAAGCCCGCGCATAGCAACGAAGACCCAGCACAGCCACAAAAAAAAAAGGTTGTGATGGCCAACCTTGACCAGAATTCTTCACAGGCACTCTGTGGGCCTTCCACACAAACAACACCAGGTTTCCCAGGCATGCTAAACCCAGAGAGGGAAAGCTCCTTTGCCCACTCGAGAATATTCTTTCTTTTGTATTTGTTGTAGATGTGATGGCTGTAGATCCAGAGCCTTGTGACAACGCGGTCGCCCAGCTGGACTGTACTTCCTGGAGCAGGGGACGGGGTGACGTCTTTGCTGATGTAGCCAGAAGCATGTTCTCGAACCCACTCTGTGGCATTCAGTATACAGACATCTCCGAGACAGTTCTTTTGTAGGTATGCGGTCAGATCTGTGTTCAGCTGAGCCTGCTCGGATCTACTTAGTAATTCTGACCTAATGGAAAAGATATGGGGTTAAATATTAAATGAATTTTCTCAGAACAAACTTGAGAACTGCTTTTGTTCTGAGGTTAGTTTTGACCTCTAAAGTTGGCCAGGGTCTGTAACATACCTGACAGTAATTTCAGGCAGAACTGCAGGGTATTTAAAAGGAAGAATACAGGCCAGAGAAAACATCACCTGATTTAAAAAAAGAGAGAGAAAGAAAAATTGCCCTAAGTGCTGTTTTAAGTTGAGACATATTTCAATGCTTCCAGAAATAAAACTGAATTACCATTGCTTCCTCAGATACGTCCAGGTTCATACTGATTGTAAAGTAAACTTTTGAAGATCGTCCTTCCATGGTCCTCTTTTCAATGCACTCTTTCAGTTCTGCTAAAGCCAGCTGGTCATTCACAATGAGCTCGTTCTCACCGGGGAACATACTGGCCAGCAGGTCTAACTCAGAGAGTTGGGCCTCTGCCTGTTCAATCTCAGTCATTTCTGGGTACCTGTAAGTTTCTAAGAAGGTAAGGATAAGAGAGACATTTATAAATACAATCTTTGGAGAACTCAACATGGGCACATATTGAATATGGGTACTTACTGAAAATTTGATTTAATAAAATATGACATTTAATCAGAAAACCTTCTGTGTTACTTTCAGATGTAATATACTAAGAATCCAAAGGGGTTTCCCTGGTGGCTCAGTTGGTAAAGAATCTGCCTGCAATGTGGGAGACCCAGGTTTGATCCTTGGGTCAGGAAGATCCCCTGGAGAAAGGAATAGCAATCTACTCCAGAATTCTTGCCTGGGAAATCCCATGGATAGAGGAGCCTGGTGGGCTACAGTCCATGAGGTGGCAAAAAGTTGGACACAATTCAGCGACTAAACCACCACCAAGGATCCAAACTACAGGACAACCCAATGACAGTGATAAAACTCTTAAAAAATAACCAGGCATCAAATTCCTTTGTACGCAGATAGTTGATGTGGCATCTCGAGATACCATAATGAGCAATTACATGGAAGTAAACTAACTGTGTAGTCAAAAAGTTATCAATGATATAACCAAGAGCGAGGCTCTGATTGGTTATCTTGGAAACTCAGAATGAAAAGAATAAGGAAGAAAGTTAGATGTGTGGCCATTTTTTTCTCTTAAAATTCATTAGTTTTTAAAAAAATAGAAGAATGTGAAAAATAGAAAGTAAAGGCTAATTATCCCATAGCTTGAGTAATGCATCTCAGCAACAGCAAAAAAGCAAAAGATTGTAAAATTCAATGATGGACAAAGGTTAAAAAGTGAAGACACAGTTTGCTACTGGTGATAGCTTCCCCTAGCTAAGTCCCCCATCCAAGGCAGAGATTTTGGTGTTTCAGAAACATTTTAGGCATTACACCTATACATATAGGGAAAACACACGGTGATACAATGTGTAAATAAATGTAGAGAATGAAATATATAATTAAAATGTATTCTCAAGGGGTCATATTTACAAACCTTTTGTCCTTACTTCCTAACTCCCCACCAAATATATTTTGGACATCTATTCACTGTCAGATTGATCTATCTCATTCTTTCTGGTGGTTGACTATCATAGTGAATCAGATAGATATGTCATAATTTATTGCATTCCTTATCTACTGATGGGCACTTGGGTTTTTTCCACATTTTTGCTATTATGAACACTTCTATAATGGAACTTTATATATACGCATACACACACACAAACACACAGAGTTTGGTGAGCTGTGAATAATATACATACAAGAATAAGTTTGCAGAGGTGGCTGATTAGGATAGCATTAAAAAGTTTGGATACTGTCAAGTTGCCTTCCAGAAAGCTCCTACATGGAAGTTTAAAATTTTCACACAGTCCCCTGCTTTAAAAAAATTCTTGGCACACAGAGTCTTTATATGGTGTTCTGTGAGCCATTCATTAGTTTTTATTTTTAAGGAGGCAGACTTACCAGCCTTTTCTTTTACAGCTCCTGGACTTTGAATCTTTGTTGGAAAAGATTCTTCCCCACTCCAAGGTCATAAAGATTACAAAATGCTAATCAAATTGGATTTTAAAACATTTCTTAGAATTTGATAACTTGATTTTCATTTGCAAGAAAGTGTGGGGCCATCTAATAAAACATGGAGGCTGAGCACATGTATTAATTTCTCTTTCACTCTTTTCCCTCCACTAAAGTTAGAGAACAGGAATAGATTGTTAAAGATAAAGGGACAGGAAATGACAGATAAAAGCTGTCAACAAAATACGGGAAGGTGGAGAGGGGTCAATGAGTCACAGCTAACTCAGATTTCAGCTTTCTTCCCTTTATTAACTGCTTGGTCTGGTGGGGAAGGGAACTGCAGAACTGCAGAAGGGCTCAGAACTGTCAACACCACCTACTTTGGAAAGCTGCTGTGTGTATGCCGTAGAAAACACGAATTTGTTGAAATTCTAGAGTCTAGAGTCTAGACTTTAGACTCTCTTTCAGGGTTTCTTAATATTAGCACTACATATCTGATGGCGGAATCACAAGTTATAAGACTGTTGTTCTAAATGTATGTAGAAGAAAAATTTAAGATTATTCTATCATTGAATTAAAAGTGACATAAAGTTTCTGTATTTTACTGACACCGGTAAAATCTGACATCAGCAGACTATAATGGGTTGCTGCTTCTTCAGTGTCAAGCTGGGATATTTGAGGCAAAAAAAATCCCCAAAGGAGTGATCATCATGTCCTTCCTTGGATCCCGAGGTCCTTTACTGATCTGTCACCCCCTCTCCACCTTTCAGAATATATATATATGTACATATACATATACATATATATATACATATACATATATATATATACATATACATATATATATACATATACATATATATATATCCACATACATATATATGTGTGTATATATATATATATACATATATATATATCATGATTCTTTTGGGGAAGAATAGGAAAAATATCCTGAAAAGTGGAAGTCCGTCTAACACAATATTTTTAATTTATCAAGTTGGCATTAAAAAAAAAAGAAAAAGGGGGAAAGCTTGTTATAAGGAAAGCTGATCTAAAAATTCCAATCTTATGAAGCTGACCTAAAGAAAAATCAACACATAAAAATATGTTTCTAATGAAGGTCACTGTTAATAAAAAGTTCAGAAATGGCTTAACTGTTCAGCAACAGAACAGTAGTTAAGTAAATACATAGGCATACCTTGGAGATACTGCAGGTTTAATTCTAGACCACCACAATAAAGTCAGTATCACAATAACGTGAATGACACAAATATTTTGATTTCCCAGTGCATATAAAAGTTATGTTTATACTACACTGTAATGTTAAGTATGCAATAGAATTATGTAAAAAAAACAACGTACATACCTTAATGATAATCTTTTTGTAATAATGACATCAAAGATCACTGGTCACAGATCACTATAACAAATATAATAACAATGAAAAGTTTGAAATATTGTGAGAATTACCAAAATATGACAGACACAAAGTGAGCAAATGCTGTTGGAAAAATACCAAGAGATGTGCTCAAGAGTTGCAACAAACCTTCAATTTGTAAAAAACAAAAAACACAGTATCTTCAAAGTGCAATAAAATGAGATATGCCTGTACACCCTGTACACCCAAACAGTAGAATATTATGAAATAACTTAAAAAATGGATATTGACATTGATGTTCATGATGTATGGTTACCTAAAATAGTAGATTGTAAAAATAAAAAAAATAAATGAAAATAGTAGATTGTAGAACAATATAAATAATCTTAATCAATAAATAATGCTACTATTCCTTCTTATACCATCACACGTACATGAAAAAAAAAATCACAAAGAGAATTCACAAAGCTATTAACAGTTGGCTAATGTGGATTGACAGAAGGATTTTCACCTTTAAATTTCTATGTTTCTATATTGCTTGAAGTTCATGATTAGCATGTAGTACCTCTAAATTCACTAGAAAGGAATAAGAGTTATGCTTGTGAATGGAAAACTGAATCCCACTGATGCAAAGGAAACATGGCTTACCTTCTCAATGAGAATTCACTCTGGGGAATCAAACAGCATTATTTCAGTTGGTGGTATCTTCATGGACTTCCTTTTCACCTGTGGTAAAGGTTGACTGGGCAGCAATTATCTGTAGAGCTTCATCCTTCATTCCCTCCTGAAACTATTTAGTTTGAAGATCAGGACTTATGTCTAATAAAATATAGAACAGTGAAGGTAAAAAGGCCAAGTGTTAAATGACCAGTATTATCACAAGGATTAAAATGAGGGCATGATCAATAAAATGGGTCATCAAAAAAAGATTTGAGGAAGGTGGCAGGATTTGAGTTGAGCCTTAAAGAAAGGGGAAGACTTAGACAAGGGAGGAGGAGGCATAATGTGGCGAGGGAAGAAAGGTGTGCAGGGCAAGAAAGCCCACGAAAAACAGCACGGACCTAAAGCTGTCCCTTCTTCACAAGTCCAGCTGCCCAGCTGTAATTCAGGGACTCATCGTTTGGAATATTTCTCCTTATGCTACTTACTGTTTGTCCTCTAAACCCATTCTTGGTCCTTCTTTACCCTTCCTTGGACTCTGGACAGCTGACCTCCACAGCCTATAGCACCCAAGTCTTCTGCATTTCTTGTGGTTGGCCAATGCTCTGGCTGGAAGTGGGAGGATGGGAGGAGAAAGAGGCCAGGGTATTTCTTCATTATTCTTTCCCCGCTTTGGTGGGATTCTGACAAACACCTATGACCAAGCTCCTGCAGGCAGCCCTTCACTTCTTTAGCGCCAGTAGACCTTTCAGCCTAGAGAAGGTCATGGTTCCTTTAAATCTGGCCACACCTTGGGACTCCCCTGTGGTCTAGTGGTTAAGACTCTGTTTCCACTGCAGGGGGTGTGCATTGATCCCTGGTCAGGGAACTAAGATCCCCTCATACCATGTGGTATGGCCAAAAGATATACATGTACGTGTGTGTGGGCTTAGTCGCTCAGTCATGTCTGACTCTTTGTGACCCCATGGACTGTGGCCCACCAGGCTCCTCTGTCCATGGAATTTTCCATGCAAGAATAGTGGAGTGCGTTGCCATTCTCTTCTCCAGGGGATGTAGTATACACACACATATATCTTCAGCATATATATATATATATATATATATATATATATATATATATATACACCTTCAGAAATATTTAAAACTCCTGGATTATTAGAATTCCTTATCTTTTCCAGTCCTGTTGGAGTTGGGGAACTAGGAAACAACTCGTTAGACGGTTATGAGAGGAGGTGAGTTTACTTTGGTTTTTATCATAGTGGTTTAAGTATACTCTGTTGCCAGACTGCCAAGCTGCAACTCCCAGCTCTGCCACTTACCAACTGTGTGACTGGAGGCAGGTGGCTTAATTTTCTGTGCCTCACTCTTCCCATCTCCAGAATGGGAATGACAGGGCTGCTCTAAGTTATTATATCAGGATGTGTGGGAAGTGCTTAAAATGATGCCTGGCAACAGAATAAATGCCATAATGAGCTTGCTATTTTTATATTCATATCACCAAATATTTCTTGAGAACCTATTGTATGTCAAGCACTAAGACTGCAATGATGGACTAAAGTAACCAAAAAAAAAAAATCTGTGCTGTCAGAGATTTAACCTAGTGGGAGCAGACTATGATAACAGAACACACAGACACACACACACACACACACAAAACGCCATGCCCTCTTCCTGGGGATCTTCCCGACCCAGGGATTGAACACATGTCTCCTGCCACTCCTCCCCCGCCCCCCCCATATATATCCAGTGAATAACTGTTATGAATAAGATAAAGAAGATAAGGTGCAAGTTGCTGGGGGTGGTTCAATTATACACAGGCTGGTCGGGGACAGCCTTTTTGCTAAGGTGACTGGGGGGGGAACGAGACTTGAAGGCACTGAAGAAGAAAGCCATGTGTTGAAATGGGGAAAAAGTCTTCCGAGCAAAAGGAACACCATGTCCACAGTCCAGGAAGCAGGGTGATGCTACACCAGGTAGCTGCAGCAGAGTGAGCCAGGGGCAGGGTTTTAGGACAAAAGGTTGGAGACAAAATCAGGGGCAGTCATGTTGGAACTCATAGAGAATGGCCAGGATTTCGGATTTTTAAAAATATATATTTATTATTTATTCAGCTGTGCCAGTTCTTAGTTGCAGCCCTGGGGATCTTGCCACATGCGACCACCAAGGAAGTCCCAGGATTTGCGGTTTTATCCTGACTGATATGGAAGGCCACTGTAGGGGTCTGACTTATTAAAAGGCTCACACTCACTGCTGGGAAGAAGGATGGAAGCAGAGTTAACAGGTAGGCACTACAATGATAGAGATGATGATGGCTTGGATTAGGGTATGGTACTGGAGGTGGTGAGCAACTGTTCATGTTCTAGACATGTATTAAGAGTAGACCCAACAGGATCATTGATGAATTACATGTGATATGTAAGAATAACTCCGAGGCTTCGAGAAAACTGGAAGAATGGACCTGCCATTTACTTGGATGGGAAAGATGGTGGAAACCTGAAGCTTGGTCTTAGACTGGGTAATGAAATGCCTATTAAGCCACCCAGTTGGTAGAGGCGTCCAGCAGGCAGCTAGATGAACAACCACGGCGTTTATGAGATCTGGCTGAAGATGTAATTTAGGGAGTATTGAGCATTTCTCCAAAAGCACGTTTGCTTAGCCAGTCGGGGAGTGAGTTAACTCGGGAACAGGCCTCATTGAGTTTGGAGGTCTGGGTCTCAGTGACGCATGGGTGGACAGCTACCGGAGTGATGTCACAAATAACTGATTTGTCCAGTTATTTTCGCAGACGAGGTTTCAGTCCCAGAAACACCTTGAACAGGATTTTCTGACTCAAGGTTTTAGTAAATATCACCGTAAGAACGCAGAATGACACGAGCTTCCTTTCTTTTTCCCTTGCAGTTTTTTTTCTTTTTATTGACTATTATTTTTTTTAAGGACTTGGCTGTTCAAGCCCTAACTTAATCAGAAAAGTTTCCCCTGGCCCTTACCCTAACGACAGACCATGTTCAGGACGTGTGTGCTGTGCGTGTGTTTCGGTGGGGCGGGGGGGGGGGGGGCGTGGGCGCTGTGGAGAGGAGACGAGGGTGGGCGGGGCCAGGAAACGCGACGCTAGTTCTAACGAATGAGAGGTGAGAAGTTAGTGGGAAGGCGGGGCCACCAGGTCGCCGAGTTACCGAGCGGTGGACGGGGCCGCCGCAGCGTAGGAACTCCCGGTCCGCAGGCGCCACCGGTGGACAAAAGACTCACCTCGAGCCATGGGCCCACTCAGTGCTGTACTCCCGCGTTTCCTGGCTGCACAAACGGCTCGATTCGTATTCAGAGACACCCTCAAAGATCCCAGGGCCAGCAAACCGGAAGCCGACAAACAGCCTTGGTCCGGCCGCCTGAGGAGAGTGAGACCCCGCCCTCCCGGACGGACGCGTGCGCGTTCTCAAGCACGCGCGCCCCGGAAGTCGGAGCTGAGAAAACCGAGATCCCTGGGCCCGGCTTTGTTTCTGTCAGCCGGATAGTTTTTGTTCCCTATTCGCGTTTCCCAGCTGCTGGCACTGTCAGTGAGAAGCAGGGCCGGCAAGTTTCCTGGGTCAGGATATGGTCCATTGAAGTAACGCTCCTCAAATTCGAACTTGCGGCGGAGTCCTTCGGGGATCTTGGTATAACGCAGATGGGATTCGGCAGGTAGTCTTGGAGTCCCACGTTTTGCATTCCTAAGATCTTCCCAGGTAGTAGCGGTCCTGCTGGCCCCCGAACGACGCTGAGTAGGCAGTAGGGACAGGTGAGCGTGGATAGTGGCCGTGGCGATCCTAGGAAGGACCCTGTGCCAACACAGAAATTTATCTCCGCTAATCAAGGACAGTTTTAAGCTGACTCCCCAACACGAGAGTAATTAAAAGATATTTTTCTTAACCAACTAAATATACTCAATGTACCTTTTCCTCTATTGTACATATTCATTGCAGAAATCTCATAAGATTTATCGCCTGGATATTGGGTCTTCCCTGGTGGCTCAAATGGCAAAGAATTTGCCTGCAATGCGGGAGACTTGAGTTTGATCCCTGGGTTGGGAAGATCCCCTGGAGGAGGGCTTGGCAACCAGCTTCAGTATTCTTGCCTGGAGAATCTACACAGACAGAGATACTTGGCGGGCTACAGTCCATAAGGTCTCAGAGTCGGACACGACTGAGCGACTAAGCCCAGTTCAGCACAAGCTGGTATTGATATTAGGTACTATCATTGCTATTTTTTTTTCCTTTTTACAAAAATAAGATGTGTTTAAAGGTCTTCATAGCTGCATCTTCTACATGGTGAGCATTTTTCAGTGTCATTAAAGAATCTTTCTCCAACTTTTATGGAACATTTCAAGCATTACAGCAAAGTTGAGAGAATTTCACAGTGACGCAATTCACCAAGAAAGGAAAAGGAGGAAGTTGATTTTGTTCCCCAAAGGAGTTTTGGAATGTCTGAAGACATTTTGAGTTGTCACAACTGGAAGGGTGTGTGCTTTGGGCACCTAATGGGTAGAATCCAGGGATACTGCTCAACTTACCAGGGTGCACCAGGGTATCCCCCCTACAAAAAATTTGCTGGTCTAAAATGCCCGTAGTGCTAAGGTTAAGAAACTGACCTCAACAATGCCTAACTACCTTTGTCATAGACCTAATTCATCCATCCCATCTCTTTTAATGCATTTCAAAGTAAACTGCAGACATTAGTCTACTTCTAAATAATTAAGCATGCATAGCATTAGGATTTCAATTATGTAGTTTTTTTTTTTTTAAGTAAAAAGGAAATGTAAATGTATATTTGCTGAGTTTTGACAAATTCATACACCTTGGTAACTCAAATCCAATTAAAATGTAGAACATTACGGCAGCCCAGGAAATTCTTTCAGGTTCCTTCCCAGTCAGTCCTCAACCAACCCAACAGGCAACTATTAGTCTTTTTTTTTTCTCCCCACACCATAGTTAGTTTTGCCTGTTCTAGAACTTAATAGAGATGGAATTATCCAGTAGGTACTTTTGTGTAAGGCTTCTTTGTGTGTATCCATGTTCTTGTGTGTATTAGTAATTTCTTTTTATTCCTTAGTTGTATACACTGTGACTATACCTCAGTTCTTCCATTCCTCTTTTGATGGAGACATGGGCCGTTTGCAGTTTTTTGGCTATTATGAGTAAGGCTGCTGTGAATAGTCAAGTACCAGGATTTCTCATGATTGAATTTCTTCAGTAAGTATTGTGTTCCAAACACTTCTAGGTTCTAGAGAGATAGCCACGAGATATAGAACAAGACAAAAGATGCCCCCATCTTAGAGAGCTTAGGTCTGCTTGTTTCCGGGTATTTATGGGGGCAGGGGAGAAGGAAATGGCACCCCATTCCAGTATTCTTGCCTGGAAACCCCACAGACAGAGGAGGCTGGCGGGCTACAGTCCATGGGGTGGCAAAGAGTCAATCAAGACTGAGTAATACACACACATAAGGTCGGAGGTGGGGCAGGGGGTAAATACACAGGTAACTATGAAACAAAAATACCGCATAGTGATAAATGCTGGGTAGAGAAGTAAAATAAGGTGATGTGAGCGATAGGGTAGCCATGTTACTTATGTTTTTCAGCCAATTTCTTTATGTGAATGACTTTTAAAGTGTGAACAGATCAAAAGTGAATGGCATTCTAGGTGTGGTACAATGGACCTAAGGCCATTTTAGAATAGAAAGGAGGGAAAAAAAAAAAACAAGGCCCATCTGCTAAATGTTAAAACTTAAAAAAATTATATAAGCAGTATAGAGCATGAGAACCATTTACCCCCCCCCCCCCCCCCCCCCCCCCGCCAAATTTAACCATCATTACTCTGGCCAATTCGACAGGTTAGGGTGCCACTTTCTTAACCTACTTTTATCAGATTACTAGAAACGATGACTATTTCTTTTGATCATGTTTTTATTGTGAATTACCTGTTTATATCCTTTGCCTGCTTTTCTATTGGGACCTGCATCTTTCCCCCTAGCGATTATTGTGTCTTCTGCATAGGACTAAACTCCAAGGCGACTAAGCCTATGTTTATTTCACTTTACAGAGGGCTTGGCACTTAACCTATTTCTAACGCGTAAACAGTAAACATTTGTAAACTTTACCCTGTCAGCAAGGTTAGTTCAAGACTATATACTCAACTTTAGAAGTCGGCTGGTCAGAATTAGGGAAAATGAGTAAAATTTAAATGTCCCCCTTCAAATGTGACGTGATTGAGTAAGGTAACCACCCAGGAGACTACAAATGTCTGACCACCCCCAGGTACCCATACCCATACTTGAGAACTATTTAAATAACCCAATAATCACAGTGGGGCCAGTGGTAACGAACCCGCCTGCCAATGCCGGAGACACAAGAGACACGGGTTTGACCCCTTGATTGGGAAGATTCCTTGAGTAGGAAATGGCAACCACTTCGGTATTCTTGCCTGGTGAATTCCATGGGACGAAAGGAACCTGGTGAACTGCAATCCACAGGGACGCAGAGTCCGCAGAACTGAGCAAACGTGCACCTAATTACCGGAAGCGGGGGAAAGAAAAAAAAAATCATTGACAGCTAAGTCAATGACTTGTCAGTGACAAGCCGCCGCGTTCAGACTTCCGGCGCGAGTCCCGCGCAGGCGCCGACTGACACGCGTCTGTGCCACTGGGCCCCCAGGGCCACAGCCACCTCCCATAATGCCGCGTAACGGAAGTTGTTACTTCCCAGGGGTCACGCTGGCTTCTGCTCCGTCGCTCTCAATTCGTCACCGGGGAGGAAGACGGAGCAGGCTGCCCAGGCCGAGGGCCTATTAGGGGATGCAGCTATGGGCGCTGTCGCCGTGGGTGAGTTCCGCTCCCACTGCCTTCGCAGTCACCACTCGCATGACTTCCTGCCCGCCCGGGAGCCCGAGTTTTCCTCCCCTGACCTCATTCTCTCCTCGAAGGCCCCTCTGCCTTTAAGCACGTTACCTAGCCTCGGCCCAGTACCGCGTTCTCATTGGCCTCACGTCCTGTCAGTTCCAGGAACTGACCAATGAGTTGTCGGTGCTGGCGCTCTCCTCGACCCAGTGGACCCCGAGGTTCCCCCCGTGGGTACGGAGCAGTTGGAAGGGAAGGGGAGGTGTGGCGGGCTCCGCGCGGCCGGGGACTCTTCTTACGAGTTGGCGCTGAGTTTGCCGTCGCGTCCGCGTGTTGGTTATTAGGACAGGCAGGAGCTGTCGTCTAGACGATTCTGTGCTCCCAGTGTAGGGCACATTTTCGCGAAACTTGAAAGCCCTGTTTTAGCCCCGCTGACAGAAGTTTTCCAAACGCATGCATGTTTAATGGATCGCAGCCAGGCGTGGGAAATACTAGAAGGGCGGAGAGGGAAGGGAACTGGGTTAATATGACAGCCGGCAAGACCAGCTATGATTTACCTTTTGCGTGGAGCCCTGCAAAGAGTAATTTGGCCCAGAACGTAACGCTCATCTGAAGATTCGCCTGAAAAATGAGTAGATTTATAGATGTTTTATAGATGATGATACTCACAGTACTGTGTTTTCACAACTCATTAGATGCCCTTTATAGTTGTCAGAAATTTACTGGGAGCTCCTTTTTTCCACATCATTGAAGCGGTCCTCCTACTGTCCCCTGCCTGCAGCAATTACAGTTCGTCTTTCAAGTTTGCCTTTGGCGTCCGGGCTACTAGCAAGTCCCAAACCAGATCTGCTAGTGCTGTCTTCAGCACTGCTGCAGATTTCTTCATTCCTTACCTTTTTCTTTCTCACCGGAATTTGTGTGCTTCATTCTTGTATACTTACCTTTGCACCTTATAATCATCCTTAATGCCACAGGTACTGTTCTCTTTTTCTGTTTCAGTACAAGAAGTATTTCAGGATCTGCTCTATATTAACACTGTTCTAAATGCTGTAGGTGATTCAGAAGTAAGGCCTAAAACCCTTTCTTGCTCTTAGAACTTCAGATTCCAGATAGAGAAATGACATTTCCAGGTGAAAAATTTAAGAAGCATCTCACTTAGGTATCTGATTAGGGTACAAGATGAATAGCGCACATTGAACGCTGGGAAAGCAGAGTTGAGTGGTTTATTTAGAGTCAACTGGTTGCCTAAGGCTCCATTGAAATGAAAATCTTGGAGGAATTGGAAAGATTTGGCTAGATGGAGAGAACTCCCACCTAGAGAGTAAAGGCTTAGAAGTGGAAGGCAAGGAGTTTTGGAGTTGGAGGGTACAGAAGAGTCCGTGGGATTCTGCCTTGGAACCAAAAGATCTGTGATTAAAGTTCCGTTTCTGCCACCCTGTGATCTTTCATCATTTTGAGTTTAATTCTTTAGCACAATGCTCCATTTAAAGGCTTTTGTGAAAATCAAATGAGATAATATTTATGAAAAGGCTTTGAAAATCCGAAGCACTGTATGACTAAACATTAGTGGTTCTTTCCTGAGAAGTAATGAGAGTCAGGGTTGCCAGGGTGTTGAGGACAATTTATAAGGGACCATGAGTGCACAGCACAGGAGGGTGGGTTGAAAAACTGTTAAGTACTTTGAATCAGGAGAGTGATTTGTTGAAAATGGCATCATTGGAAGATAATGTCTGTACTAGAATGCAGCACAGATTAGAGGGAGTTGGATGGGAGGGAGGCAAGAACTTGGGTGCTGTTCCCCCTTCCGCAAATCAGAATATACCCTCATTTTGTATATAACCATATGGTTGTGTTCTGTTAATAAATACATTGGTTTTGTAAACATGAAACTTTGTTAATGTTTTATCTTTGAAAAGGGTAACAGTTAATGATTTGGCACTCATTTTTCTTACAAACCTTGTGGGATTACCTTGAATTACCCTCACACATTAAGAACTAAAGGAGGAATATTTTTAAGACTTTAAGCCAGAGCAAGATGACAGCTACCTTTCAGAATTAATTGGGAAGTGTTTTAAAAATATATGTCCCACGTCCTACTTTCCACTTATGCAATCAGAATTTTCATAAGCATCCCAGGTAGAATAATTATTATAGTCATTTAAGTGATTTTGACACTAAGTTATTCTAATGTATGTAAACTATAACTTTTAAACATCATTATTAGGTAGATCTGTATGTACTTTAAGTATTTTTCATGTTTTCTAATTTTTAATTGTTGATTGAAGAAGTGATTTGATATGAGTTGATTTGTCATTGCCTAGAAAAATCCCATGGATGAAGGAGCCTTGCAGGCTACCTCCATGGGGTCGCAAAGAGTTGGACATGACTGAGCGACTTCACTTCACTTCAGATTTGTCATATTATTTCAAACTGATTTTGTCAAGAATATAATAATGTAAATGGTCGAGAATACGGATGTAGTCAGTTTTTAGTTAACATCCATAGGAAGTTCTGGTGTGGAAAGATGAAGAACAGTGTATCACACTATATATTTGGCTTTGAAACTATTTTGCAAATTTTCTAACTCCCTCTAGGAGATTGTTTTCAGAATTATTTTCATTTTCTTTGAGAAATTATAAATCTGATTACATTGCCTGCAAGAACTAATAAAGATGGCTTTGAAGAGAGGGAAATTCAAGTTTCAGACTGCTACCAGCATTCCATATTTATGTAGTGAGAAGTTGAGCTCCTAATAGTGTAAAGTGTTAAAACTTCAAGATCTGTGTAAGAAGATACAAATTCTCTCCTGACCTTTACATTTCTTGAACACCTGTTAACATTACTAAGAATCAGTTTCCTAAGCTATGAAAAACAGAGGTGATACTCTACTTTGGGGGTTCTTATTGAAAACTGAATGATACATGTGAATGGTCTTTGTAACTTATAAAGTATGATAGATACACAAAATGATGTGGTTTAGTTATGTTACTGTATCCTAGAGAACTGTAAAACTTTTTTTTTGGTCAAGCTAACTTTATCTTGTTTTCTAGATTGTTATTTTGTGTCAGTAAGTAATCCCTAAAGTGCCAACATGGGAAAGAAACGGACAAAGGGAAAAACTGTTCCAATTGATGATTCTTCTGAATCTTTAGGTATATTTCACCAATTAAATCTTTAAAGTAATGTTTGTATCCCTAAACGGACATCTATTTTAATATGTAAAAATGGGATCAAAGTGTTTTGATTACATTATTCTGTAATTTGCATTTTAACTCAATGTTTGTATAGACATGTAATTTAATAGTCTGCACAACATTTTTAATGGCGTGATATTTATTCCATTGATATAAAGACCATGGGTGTGTATTTTTCATGATTTATTTAGGTAATCCTCCACTGTTATAAATGTAGGTAATCTTCAACTTTGCAGTGTTATGAATAGAGTGATAGTAAACATTTTTGCAGCTCAAACTGTGTACATCTGGTTATCTTCTTGGTACAGACCCTAGAATTAGAATCACTGAATTAAGTGTTGTAAATGTTTTCAAGATTCTTTTGGATCTCTTGCCATTCGGAGATGTATAACTAACGTAGAGGCCCCTAGCAGCATAACAGCGTGCACATTTCTCTGAACCTTTATTGACACAGCTTGGTATCGTTTGTAAAAATCTTTGATTTGCTAGTTGAAAAAGAATATTTTCTTTTTTCAGTTTGTGTTGTTTTTGACAACTTACTGCGCTTTCATAGTTTTTCACACGATCTCATTTGCATTTGTATTCTCTTGGTACATATTCATTGGACATCAGGCTAATTGTACCACTTGATGAGTTTCTAAACCTCCAGGAGCCCTGAAAGAACTGAAGCCCTTTAGAGTGGCTTGCATAGCCTGTTACTGATCTGGCCCCAGTGGGGTTTTCAGTCTCAGGTCCTGCTGCTCATTATTTCACATGTGACTGCCATTCTGAGAAGACAGCATGCACTTTTACATTTTATACCTTCATCCCTTTGTTAATGGGATGTGGCCTTTTCTGGGTCAGGAAGATCCCCTGGAAGAGGAAATGGTAACACCCTCCAGTATTCTTGCCTGGAGAATCCCATGGACAGAGGAGCCTAATGGGCTACCATCGATGGGGTTGCAAAGAGTCAGACCCAACTGAGCAACTAAGCACAAGGCCTTTTCAGATTGTTTACTCCATGAGGTCATAGTTTAAACTATGAGCTTGAAATTAAGAAGACTTAAATCCAGATTCTAGTGTAGCCACTAGTAGTTATGTGACCTTGGGCACTAACTTTGAGGTTTGTCATCTATCATTGGGGGTAGTACAGCCTGCTTTTCGTGGTGATTATATAGATTAAATGAGATAATGTGTGTAAACAGCACAGTTTCATGCTCATAGTAAGTGCTTAATCGGTATGAGAAGTTTTTATGATTATATGTATCTCCCAAGATTGTACAGACATCACCTCTTCTGTGAAACTTCCGTTGACTTTAGCCTTCTCTTCTTGTGCTGCTATAGTATGTCTATAGCACTGCTCCCTAGGTGGTGCAGTGATAAAGAATTCGCTTGCCAATGCAGGAGACATAGGAGGTGGGTGTTCAGTCCCTGGGTCGAGAAGATCCCCTGGAGAAGGAAATGGCAACCCACTCCAGTATTCTTGCCTGGAGAATCCCATGGACAGAGGAGCCTGGCAGACTACAGTTCATGGGGTCGCAGAGTTGGACATGACTGAGCGACTAAGCACCCACGCATATGTATAAAGCATGTCTAGAGATTCTTGTGCACTCACTAATTTGCTTCTCCTGCAAGAATGTGAGCTGCTCAAAGAAAGAGCTGTGAGTTGGTCACTTTTTCGGTTGTGTTGTCTATTACAGTGCCAGACATGCAGTAGTTGTATTGTTGACTGAATGAGGGACCTTCTCTGCAGTCTTTTAAAATAAAGAGGATAATAGATACAATTAATAAATTGGAGTGAATTTAGGGTGGTGGTGGTTATACATAGGACTCGAAAGCTTAAGATCTTTCTTACATAATCATCTCATGATCAAATATCAGACAAAAATTTAAGTTTTTAGGTTATCTAACAGTTAGTTTATAGAGTAAATTCATTTTTGAAGTTCAAATCATGTGTACGTTTTGAGATTAACTGAAGAAAGTCATATTCTACCTCATATTTATTATTTGTTTTAATAGAACCTGTGTGCAGACACATTAGAAAAGGATTGGAACAAGGTAATTTGAAAAAAGCTTTAGTGAATGTGGAATGGAATATTTGCCAAGATTGTAAGACGGACAATAAAGTAAAAGATAAACCTGAAGAAGAAACAGAAGAAAATCCTTCAGTTTGGCTGTGTCTTAAATGTGGCCATCAGGTATGCTTAGATTCTGATCGATTTGGGATTGTGCTAAACTCTTTGAACTTATTTTAGAAGATATTACCTAAAAGCTCGGTATGGGTGACCAGAATATGTGTTGGCGTAGTTCCTGTTCCCTGGGGAACAGGTTCTGAGACAGATTTGTGTGTAGGGGTTTACTGGGGCGTATTCTCGGGTCCTGTGCTAGGAGACCAGGGAGAGAAGCAAGCTTAGGCAGAGGCATGCTCCAGGGCCTCAGCTGAACCCACAGTGGAGTCTGGTCTTCAGAGAGGTCCTGAACTGAGGCACGGGGCCAGGTCTCTGTCCTTGTGCCTAGACCATTTATCGGATGTTGGTTGCTTCTGGGGAATGGAACTGATGGTAAGGAAGGCAGCTTCCTTCCATGGAGGATAATTCTTGGGATGGACAGACTGAGCTGTGACCTGCCCCCAGGCCACATTTCTGGCCTCTGGGGAATGAATACCTGGGGTCTGATGGTATCTGGGTGGCAGAATGGCTCACAGGTATCATCGGTACTAAAGGTCAGGAGCGCCTCTTAATCAACCTTGGTAATGGTAAGTTTATCTGTTAGGCAACTACTGAGCGGTGGTAACATCTAAAACTACAGTGTAGTAGCACAACTGGGATATTAACATTAATACAATCCAGCAGTCTTAATCAGGTCTCCCAGAGTTATTTCTCTCAGTTTGTATGGGGGTATATGTATGTTGTGTATGTATTAAGTGCTGTTCGGTTTGGCACCTGTGTAGATTTATATCCATCACCACAGTCAAGGTATTGAAAAGTTCCAACATCACATGGAGCTCTTATGTTGCCTTTTAAAAATCATACCCACCTCTGGACTGCCATCCTTCCTCCCAGTCCCTGACAACCTCTAGTCTATTCCCTGTTTCTAAAATTTTGTCATTTCAAACATGTTGTGTAAGTGGAATCATGTAATACACAATGTTTTGGGACTGACTTTTTTTACTTACACTCTGAAAGTTTTCCCAAGTCCTGTGTCTCAGTGGTTTCTTCTTTTTTATTGCTAAGTGGTATTCCATGGTAGGGGTGTACTACAGTTTGTTCACCTGTTGAAGAACATCTGGGCTGATCTCATTTTTTGGTGATCATGAGTAAAGCTGCTATGAACATTTGTGTACACATTTTTGTGTGAATTTAGTTTAAGATTTCATTTCTCTGGGAAAAATGTCCAAGAGTGCAATTGCTGGGTAATAATGAATTGTTTAGCTTTTAAGATACTCCCAAGCTTTTCCAGAATTGCTGTTCTATTTTATATTCCTCCCAGTAGTGTTTGAGTGATCCACTCTCTCCATCCTTGCCAGCATTTAGTATTGTCACAGTTTTTTATTTTTAATCATTCTGACAGGTAATATCTCACTGTGGCCAGACAGTTACAAAATTTTATGTTAGCATTTTTATTTATATGTATTTGAAAGGTTGTAATTTCACCTGTTAGATACATATGATGAGCATGAATATATTTTACTACTATAAATTTTCCATAATGCATTTCCTATTATAAATTTTATTTATTTTGCTAGTTTTTTAGTTCCTTGGGGTAAGACAGTATCAGTATTGACTTAACTTTCATCCCAGTAGTTAGGTTTTACACTGTTAGCACAGGATTCTCAGTTATTAAGATATCTCATGTTTGTTTCAGATAGCCTCAGTTGGTGTTAGAGTTTTCAAAATCAATACCAAATTGCAGTTCATTTATTTTAGAACTGAATGTTGAATGGGATAAATTCAATCAGTAGGTTTGATATCATAGTTAAAGGGTTAGAAGCCATTGATGGATATTTCACCCCCAAAGTAATATTTTTTGTAGCTGCAGTAGAGACAGGACCACTTACTGTAGTGTCCTTGGAGAGAGTTGAAGGCCTGGTTCAGATAGATACACAGTGAAGATGTGCTTCTTAGCTGTGGCTAATCATCTGGAGGTGAACAATCTGGTCATGTTCTTTGTGAATACACCTATGCAGATGTAGGTGGGAGTCTCCCACTTACTTGTTCAATTAATGCTTATTGACCTCCCTCACTTTTCGAGTCTTTGGTAATAGATTAATTCTGTTTTCATAATCCTGTTTTTCTGCAGGATTTACACTCCTGCAGAAGGTGTGAAAGGGAAGAAAGGATAGCAACATTAACAGCTTTACTCTAAGGTAGAAAATAAGGCATGCCCTCAGGAATGTACACCATGTTTTGTGGCAGTTTGTCTGTGGGAGGAGCAGTGTTTTCTCATCTGGGAAGCTGGGCATAGGCTTCTAAGAGGAAGTGGCCTCTGAGCAAGATCCTGAAGACCAAGTGGGATTTGATCCGTGGCAGTAACAGTAAAGAATTTCAAGACAGATGGAATAATGTGAACAAAACAGTATTGTGAGAGCGAGGTGGTTTTAGCTGGTAGATGCTACTCAAATAGGAGAATATGGGCGCTAATCCTGGAAAGGTGGATCGGGGTCCGAAGGTATCAGGTTTGTTGAGTAGGTTTGCTGAGAGCAGTTCATTTCTTTTGAATTGAGTATATGAACAGAGCTTTATTTTAGGAATATTAAACTGAACAAATAGGTATGTGAAGAAAGGTTGAAGTTAGGAAAATATTTAGGAAGATGTTAAGGAGTCTAAATTAGAACTAGTGAGTGACTGCATTGGCATGGTTTGGTTAGGACTGGAAAGGACAGGCTGGTGCAGAAGAGTACTTCTAGCATGTGGTTTTCTAAGTACCTTCTTCCGTGAGTGTCCTCAGGTGCCTCTTCGTATTTTAAGTTCTCACAGAATCTGGACTCTGCTAGAGTCTAAAGTTTTAACTTTAAAATTGTAAGAAAGGCAAGATTTCTTGATCCACTTCCTTATTCATTGTAGATTGTGAATTCTCTCCTGGTGAATTTTTGTGGCTTTGAGTTTTATGATTATGATTCTCTAGGGCTGTGGCAGAAATTCTCAGGAGCAACATGCTTTGAAGCACTACCTGACACCACGATCTGAACCTCATTGCCTGGTTCTTAGTTTGGACAACTGGAGTGTATGGTGAGTTTCTACTCCTGTGCCCATTTGCTGGAAATTATTTGAAATGTTGGGGAATGGAGGTGTTTGAACTGTTTCAAAGAGCAAGAAAGTTTAAATTTTTTTAGTATTTGTTTACATACCATCACTTTCAGGATTCCCCATTGACTCAGTGGTAAAGAATCCGCCTGCAACCCAGGGGACGCAGAAGACTTGGGTTCGATCCTTGGGTTGGGAAAATCCCCTGGAGGAGGAGTTGGCAACCCATTCCAGCATGCTGGCCTGGAAAATCCCATGGACAGAGGAGCCTGGCGGGCTACAGTCCACGGGGGCACAGAGAGCGACGCAGCTGAGCTACTGAGCTCACACGCGTGCGTCACTTTCAGAAGGCTAGAGAATGTGGTGTTACGAGAAGCGTTTGCTTAGTATTGTACAAACACAATTATAGCATGTAGAAGACAGGAGTTTTTACCCTTTGTTTTTCTCTCATGATACTACAAAGCACATGATAGAGTTGGGACACTAACAAATTCCAGATACACTGAGATAATAAATTTTGGCAATGAATTTGCATGAAAATGTTAGGCTGGTATTTTTTGTCTTTTAACATCATTAAAATTTTACATCTTTAAAAACCATTTACATAGCACTGTTCACTGAACGTGCCTATGTGCTGTCACTTCAGTCATGTCCGACTCTTTGTGACCCCCATGGACTGTAGCCCACCAGGCTCTTCTGTCCATGGGATTCTCCAAGCAAGAATACTGGACTGGGTTGCCTTGCCCTCCTCCAGGAGATCATCCTGATCCAGGGATCAAATGTCTCTCATGTCTCTTGCATTGGCAGGCAGGTTCTTTACCACTAGCGCCACCTGGGAAGCCCATTCACTGAACATCATTTGTCAGTTGTAAAATTTGTTAATTTTGATAATGTAGGTCTGTAATTTAACATATGATTAAAAAAAACTTTTACGTTACAAACAATCATTTCAGTAACATGTTTGGAGTATTTTCACAGTATTTATATGTAGCTGTAATTTGGGCTAACTTTAATAGTACAGCAGAGTTAATATGTATAGTCTTCTTCAAGAAGACACAGCATTTTTATTTTCAGTTTCTTTCCTGGCATAGTTTGAGGCTTACACACTTGGGGTCCCCTGAATGAAAATCAGTCTCCTTTTGTGGTGGTCAGGTTGTCACTCTTCTTCTCTGGGATCTTTTGGGACACAGGTGTTACCTATGTGATGATGAAGTCCAGTATTGTAATTCAAACCGATTGGGTCAGGTGGTTGATTATGTTAGAAAACAGGCTGGTAATACAACTCCAAAATCAGGTAAAATCATTTGTTTCTTAATATATACTATAATGTTGATATAGTGGATATTTAGTTTAACATACTGTATCATTGCACGTAGCTGAATAACATTATTAGTGATTGATTTCAAACTATGAAACTATCTTTGGTTAAGAATGTAAAACAGTAAGAACATAGATAATTATAAGGAGTTAGAAGGAAATCTGAGAAACAATATAGTCATATATGATGAAGAGTCTGGGTTAGTGATGAGCAGTAACTCCACACTCCCATACCCTGGCACAGGGCTTAAAGCAAACCTGCCTTATAATGGATTTATCTTGCTATATTGTTTGGATGATGTGAAAGTTGGTGATGGACAGGGAGGCCTGGCATGCTGCAGTCCATGGGGTCGCAAAGAGTGGGACCCAACTGAGCAACTGAGCTGAACTGAACTGCTACATTGTTTGGATGATGTGAAAGTAAGGTGCCTATAATTCCTTCAAAAGGCCAGATGCTTCTCAGGTTTTTTTCATTCATTATTAGGTTAATAGGGTTGATCTTCATCAACTGCTTTAAAAGCTTCTTTAGATTTTTACAGTCACAGAGGTATCTTTTGTGGATCCAGATTGTTTGTTCCTAACTTCAGGGTTAGTTTTTTCTGTTTTTTTTTTTTTTAAATTAATTAATTTAATTGACTGTGCCGGGTCTTAGTTGTGACATATGGCATCTTTGATCTTGGTTGCACTATGCTGGAACTTTTAGTTCTAGCATGTGGGATATAGTTTCCTGACCAGGGATTAAACCCAGGCCCCTGCATTGGGAGTGCGGACGCTTAACCACCCACCGAACCACCACGGAAGTCTCCAGGGTTAGTTTTCACTCGCAGACTTCATTTAAAAATTTACTTCATGTCCATGATGCTTGCTTGATTGCTTTATACTCTGATTTCACAGGGTAAGATTGCTCATTTGTAAAAAATATTTGTTCAGTAAAAAGGGGACTTATACTGAATACTGTTTGGTTTGCCTATGTCAGTTCTGAATATTTTTGGTTTATTGGTTTTTCTCTCTTGATGGTAATTTATTTGTAATAAAACATTTAAAATCAAACAGGTGGTAAATCATATTATTAGGTAAAATTCAGAAATTCTAATCCCAAGTATATCTTTGCATTTGGTATGTGTGTCTTACAAGTTTTGCTAAATCATCTCTTTTTCTTCTTTTTTTTTAAGCAGCAAAAGATAATGGTAATATTGAACTTGAAAATAAAAAGCTAGAAAAGGAGAGTAAAAATGAGCAAGAGAGAGAAAAAAAGGAAAACATGGCGAGAGAAAATCCTTCCATGAATTCGACTTCCCAAATAACTGTGAAAGGACTCAGTAATTTGGGAAATACATGTTTCTTCAATGCAGTTATGCAGGTGCCAATGTTAATATTTTCCCCCTTTAAAAAGATCATAGTATTTTCCTCATAATGCTAGGATGTTTTTGCATATTTGCTACTCATGATATTGAGCTTTTCCCTCACACGTAGTTTCTTCCTGTGTTTTCAAAGAAAATTCAAGGGCATGTTTCCTTTGCATGACAGTAAAACACTGTGCTAAGCCCTGGCGTGCAAAAGGGTTTGAGGCAGCCATGGCCTGTGCCCTCAGAACTGTCCTTGGATGTTAGAAGCACAAGGGAGCCAAGTACAGAAGTAAATTCCTAGTTGCAGGTGGTGGTGGTAGGGGTAGGATAGCTACTTCATAGCAGGTGGTTGGGAGAAAGACCTTCTGAGGGATGAGTGAACTCAGAACTGAAGTATTTATGAACCAGTAAGAGTGGGGGGAAGAACACGATGTTACTTCGTGTGTAACAGACACAAGAAAAGTTGCAGTGTTGATGGTGTTTTTCTGTTTTGGAAGACTAGACACTTAAGGTACTTGACTGAATTGGTTTGCCTGTAAATAATATTTCCTTTCTTTTCCATCCTGCATTCCAGAATTTGTCACAAACACCAGTGCTTAGAGAACTACTGAAAGAAGTAAAAATGTCTGGAACAATTGTAAAAATTGAACCACCTGATTTGGCACTAACAGTATGTACTTTAAATTTTTCTTTTTTTCTTTTCCTCTCTGAGTAGCAGCATTTTAAATTATTTTTAAGAACTGGTGCTCGTTTTCACCTCTTTTGTTTGTTTTAAGCTACCAAGGTAAATTTTCAGGCTAATGTATATTTCTGAGGGGCCTCTACGTGTGTTTGCTCCTGAAAGCCCTTCTGCTGTGCTGAGTGTTTGGCCTCCTCCTGGGGAATGCTGCTTATGAAGCTCTGAGCATGCATTATCATTTTTAACATCTTTTAAAGTGACTGAAATGCTGTGTAGCGAAATGAGTTTTACCCTCTCCATTTTTATTATTTACATCTTGATGTAGCTCTTTCAGTTCCTAGGTAGTAAGTTCCTGATAAGATAAAACAGTAGAACTGAATTCTTTATCAAAATAGTTTAGGACTAAAAACTTTCTCCATCTTTTGATGTACATTTTGAACTTTTAATTGGAACAGCTCTATCAGGAACATAGGAATATAGGTTGACGAGTTACATTTTGATAAAATAACTCTAAAATTTTACTGAAGAAAGTAATTTTTATTCTCATATTCAGGAACCCTTAGAAATAAATCTTGAGCCTCCAGGCCCTCTTACGTTAGCCATGAGCCAGTTTCTTAACGAGATGCAAGAGACCAAAAAGGGAATCGTGACACCTAGAGAACTCTTTTCTCAGGTCTGTAAAAAGTGAGTATCTGTTTTGATTGTGCTTTCAGTGCATCAGTAAGAAGCTGGGAAATAATATGAAAAAATTAATAGGATTAGAGTTAATTCAATAGATAATATTAAAGCATGGTTTAAAAAATATGTACTTTGTGTGAAAATTAAATCTGCCAAGAGTGTTGTTGGACTAAACAAAAATTTTGAGAAACTGGAACCCACCAAAATTTGGGATATGATCCTAAGATTTAATAAAAAATAGTTTCATTTTAGTGGACTCACCATAGTTTTTCTTTTTTCCCTGTAGAGCAGTGCGATTTAAAGGCTATCAGCAACAGGACAGTCAGGAGCTGCTTCGCTATCTATTGGATGGAATGAGAGCGGAAGAACATCAGGTTAGCATATTTTTCCCCAATGTCTTTTGTAATCTCCTCTTCATTAACTTGTCTGTCATTTGATGTCTTAAGGGTTATTAGACAATGAAAACTAGTTGTTGAGGCCATAATATTGACTTTTGTTTTCTTCACCGGCCTTTTCAACAAGTGTATTTTCTTTTTATTTATTTATTTTTCTTCTTCTCTTTTTCTTGGCTAGTGTATTTAAATTATTAAACTAATGAAGGGAATTAGAAACTATTCATTTCGTGATTCTTTATTTTGCTCGCTGTTTGCATCATTATTGCTCTCTAAGGTTTGACGTTGTAGCCTATGTCAGGAGAGATGCAGGTGTGAAGAATATTGCTCCCCAGACGATTCCCAGTTGCAGTGCAGCCTTGCTCTTGCTCTGAGTGTGATTTAACACGGGTTCAATCTGGCGAGTGTTCTGTTTTGTAAGGGTCAAGGAGCATTTGTTGCGTTGCAGACTTTTTGTTACGTGAGTATGTAATTTTGTGATTACTTTACATACTTTAATTTTGCCAGGATGTGAAGTGAGTTTGGGGAGGGTGTGTGGGGTGTAATTGGTAATAGTAATAACAGAGTGGTAACGACAGTCCTTTGCCCTTAGTTTTTGCCCTGTTCTCGGTATTCTGTGACTCCCCTTACTCAGTCCTCATGGCCCTTCTGTGCGGTGCACGTGGCTGTCATTTTTCTCACTCCATCGATGATGAAGCTAGGGCATCCAGAAGGTCACTGCCGGGTGCAGGGTCACCCAGTGCTGGTGGAGCTGGGCCTTGAGTCCTGGACTCTGTCCCTGTAGTTCTCTGCCTCAGGGACTTCAGGTGGCTCAGGACCCGCCGGCCAGTGCAGGAGAGGCCAGAGATGCAGGTTTGCTCCCTGGGCCTGGAAATCCCCTGGAGGAGGAAATGGCAAGATTTTGCACGGGAATTTTGTGCAAGTATTCTGTCATGGGAAATCCCATGGACAGAGGGGTCTGGCAGTCTATAATCTATGGGCTCACAAAGAGTCGGATACGGCATAGCAACCGAGCACACACGCACTCTGCTTCTAGTACATGATATTTCAGTGGTCTTCTCAAAGGCTGTGGGATGCTCTGAACAACTTTGGTTAGAGTAGGTTAAAATCTTGAAATGATAATACAGTGCCTTTGCTCAGGGGTTAGTTATTGTTTTTTTAAAACATATTTCTTTTTAGCTCCTGGAATTAATTTTGAAAATGTGATTTTTAAAATATTAATTTTTATTTGATAAGTTTGGGGTGCTAATTCTTAATCGTTTTCTTTACTTGATTATATACTTTATAAGGAAAATAGCTAAATTTAATAGTACATATATCTATTTTATTCCTTTTAGAGAGTGAGTAAAGGAATTCTTAAAGCATTTGGTAATTCTACTGAAAAAGTGGATGAAGAACTGAAAAATAAAGTTAAAGGTAATGTCTGACTTTTTGAACTAAAACAGTATAGTTGAAGTCCTCTATACATTAAAACAGGATTGCTGGCACATGTATTTCAAATCCACAGTTATGAGTGTATGATTTCTCTTTATCTCTGTTGACTTAAAAAAATTATTCAGTACTCCAAAGGAAAATACTTTAGAAAAATTTAACTTTGGTGTATTCTTTTTATGTAGTATTATGGTAAAATTTATAAACAAAGAGCTAAGATGACATCCCAATTTTATTTTTCAAAGGCTTAGACTTTATTTTTTTGGCCCCACCACGTGGCTCATGGGGTCTTAGTTCTCTGACCGGAGACTGAACCCAGGCCTCAGCAGTGAAAGCCCGGAGTCCAAGTCCTAACCACTGGACCGCCAGAGAATTGCCTCAAAGCTTAGACTTCAAATATTAGTGATGTACACTTGTGTTTTCGAGTTGTCAGCTGGTTTATTAATCACGGAGCTGACTTTATTCTTATCATTGTGTAGCATTTAATGATTTAGGAAAGGTTTGTTGAGTAGAACCGTCTGTGATGATGGATCACTTCAGTATTTCTGCTCTCTGATACAGTAGACATATGTGGCAGTTGAGCCCTTGAAATGTGACTGGTGCAAAAGGAGCTAAATTTTTATTTTCATTTGATTTTAACCAGTGTAACTGGTCCCAGTGACTAAACTACTGAACTGTGAAGCACAGCTTGGAATCTACACAGAGCAACTGCCTCCTCATTTCCCTGGGTGCTGGCCTGGCCGTTAAAGGAGAGACGCTAGCCTGCTCAGCTGTCTGTCATAAAATGTGTTTCTGTATAAATGGCACCTGTCGTTTAAACAAGGCTTACACATTTCATGCAGTTAGAAAATTGGGTGACTAGGTAGTAAAATTATGTCACCTTATGCTAAGCTTACCAAGGTTGTTTCTGGGGACATAGAGAAAAGGAGGATTTTGTCTGAAATACTTTCCTAAGGGCTTTTTGTTTTTGTTTTGATTTTGAATGGAGTTCACAAAGCAAGTTACTGTCAAATTTGCTGCTAGTGTTACAGTGCTAGAGCTAGAAGTGAGCTCAATCATTATCCTGCGTAGCCCAGTCTGTTCATTTTACTATTGATAGTTAAAATATTGATGCACAGAAAGTCTCACTGATTTGCACAATTCATTTTGCACTGACTAGACCATAGAGCAGAATTTTTTTTTTTTTTTCCTCTGAGATATGATTGTGTTAAATTGTATCCTGCTTAGAATGCTGGAGTACATGCTGCTGACTGTAGTATAAAAATTATGGTAATTATGAGTAGAGAAAAACAACTCAATAGGAAATTACAAATAAAATTTCAGGGTTAGATAGGTAAGTAAGTAGTTTCAACTTACTTCATTAATTGTGTACAGGTAATTGATAGCCTTTTTTCCCCTTGTAGAGTATGAAAAGAAAAAATCAGTACCAAGTTTTGTGGACCGAATATTTGGTGGTGAGCTGACTAGTACAATTATGTGTGATGAATGCAGAACTGTAAGTAGATGCAGTGCAGACTGCATTTATGCATATTAATAGAGGACAGTTTATGAGTTCCTTTTGGAAACAGAAACATCTGGTCAGTTTTATAAGATACTTTTTTGAACTAAGTATGCATAGTTTTTTGCCAGAACTGTGAACATTCCTTAGGAAGAAGTTAGTGTAATATTTTAATTTCTTATACCTAACCCAAAGTCCTCAACACTGTGTAGTTTTTCATTTTCTTAAGCCTTTATTTTAAAATTTAGCCCTCCTCCCCAAGATTTTACTGTATGATGTTTAAAGTGAATCTTTTCCTCCTTTTTTCATCTTCTTTTTTGGTTGGTTAAGGTCTCCTTGGTTCATGAATCTTTCCTTGATTTGTCTCTACCGGTTTTAGATGATCAGGTAAGATTATTGAGTTTGTTTTAAGTAGATTTTCTTCTTTCCTGTGCTAAATTTTGTGAGGGAGGGCTTGTTACCATTTCCAAGTTTGTACTTTACCAGGCCTTGCATGGAGAAAGTTTTCTTAATATGTGTGAGATGGAAGAGTTTTAAAGATTTGAAAAGAGAATGAATAAATATAAGTATTCATGTATATGTAAATTTTTATGTGTGTGTATATGTATGTATTTTAAAGACTATGTCTTGAATTGTTTATGGATGACTAACTTGGCTAGTTTACATATAGGAAAGTATTTACTTTATTCATGTAAGTCATTATTATTTTTATTATTTAAGACTAACCGCAAATCCCTTAAAGTTTAAGTTCATAAATATTAACAGAGAGTAAGCCATGTAAACTTAGTTCTTATCAAGTAATAGTAGGAAAAATATAACATTATGAGTATTGGATAAATCATTATTCAACTTAATATGAATTGGGGGGGTCCCTTTAAATCAGTGTAACTAAGTCATTAAAGTCTTGCCAAACATAGTTTATTTTTTCTTCCCTTTAAAACTGTCACTTGCATGAGAAGAAAAGAATAAAAAAGAATACCTGTAGTGGGACATGTAAATCACTTATCAACAAAAAGTGCATTTAGAAATAAACATAATTACAGCTTGGTACAGCATGTATCTATTACAACTCGCTATATTCCTTTCTGTTACACTCAGATGTTAAATTGCCTTTTTTTTACCGTTTTGTTTGTTTGCTTGTTTTCTCAGTATGTGAAGATTGTTTTCTAGTGTCTCAGATGAATTAATTATGTCCTGGATATGTTTCCAAACAGTTTGAAAAATAAATCTGGTGTAAATTAGGAATAGAAAACTGTTTAGGTAACAGGAAATTTCTCTACAAGCAGTAGTAAAGTTTTATTTTTGGTCCATATTCTCTCCATATTTTAAGAGTGGTAAGAAAAGTATGAATGATAAAAATCTGAAAAAGACAATGGAAGATGAAGATAAAGATAGTGAGGAAGAAAAAGATAATGACAGTTACTTAAAGGAGAGAAACGATATTCCTTCAGGAACAAGCAAGCACTTACAGAAAAAAGCAAAGAAACAAGCCAAGAAGCAAGCCAAGGTGGGTACTTAGGAGGAATACCTACTTGTCTAGTTTTAGCGTTGAGACCCTTGAGTTTGAGTCTGGATGGCACTGGAGGGCATGTCTGTTAGTTTATGTACAGCACTTTAATTTGACGGGCTTCCTGGTGGCTCAGACGGTAACGAATCTGCCTGCGATTCGGGAGACCTGGGTCGGGAAGATCCCCTGGAGGAGGGCAGGGCAACCCACGCCAGTATTCTGGCCTGGAGAATCCCATGGACCTGAGGAGCCTGGTGGGCTGCAGTCCATGGGGTCACAAACAGTCGGACACAACGTGACTTTCACCTTTACTCGATTTGGCAGTTACAGAATTAGCTCATGTCATATTCTCTGCAGCAAAATTTCTTTGAGAATATGTGAAGAAAATGTTGTGCTTAAAAAAAAAGAAACTGCATTACTTGTCATGACTTAAAAAATATTTTATTTTCAAGAATTTTTTCAGTTTCTAATACACTAACATTTAAAAATATATAAAGGTGTACAATAAAAGTCTCCCTCCTTGTATGATATAATACTACTCTCATTAGTTTCTTTTATGTGCTGGAGATTTTTTTGGAAAATATAATCAAGTACAAATACGTGGTCTTGTGTTTCCCTGCTTTTAAAAATTATGCACACTGTTCCAGTCCTTATTTTCTTCTGCTTAATTAGATGCGTGCAGATCTCTGTTTCTTCGTGTTGCAGGACACAAAGATTCTTTTTTTTAACAATCATATAAAGAAACTCTACTTGATGTTCTGTGGTGACCTAAATAGGAAGGAAATCCAGGAAAGAGAGGACATATGTACAGCTGATTTACTTTGCTCTACAATTAAAACTAACCAACATCATAAAGCTACTGTACTCCAATAAATTTCTTTTTAAAAAGTCATTTAGAATTCTGTTTTAGTAGTAAACGTTGTTCAGTTGCTCAGTTGTGTCCAGATCTTTGCGATCCCGTGGACTGCAGCATGCCAGGCTTCTCTGTCCTTCACTGTCTCCTGGAGTTTACTCAAACTCATGTCCATTGAATCAGTGATGCCATCCAGCCATCTCATCCTCTGTCATCCCCTTATCCTCCCGCCTTCAATTTTTCCCCACATCAGGATCTTTTCCAGTGAATTGGCTGTTCGAATCAGGTGGCCAAAGTATTGGAGCTTTAGCGTCAGCATCAGTCCTTTCAATGAATATTCAGGGTTGATTTCCTTTAGGATTGACTGGTTTGATGTCCTTGCAGTCCAAGGGACACTCAAGAGTCTTCTCCAACACCACAGTTCAAAAGCATGAATTCTTCAGCACTCAGCCTTCTACAAAATATAGTTTAAAAGATGTACTATAGTTCATCCAACCATTTCTTGATTGACTTAGATGTACAAACACCTGTATTCCTTTGCTGTAATGGCCAGTGCTGCTGTGAATAACCCCATACATGTCATCTGTAGGGTATATTTTGAGAAGAGGGATTGTAGTTTTGCTAAAATAATTGCCCTCCACAAAAGCTGTACCAACTTATGTTCCCACTAGCAACATATGAAAATGAAGTCAAGCATGTTTTTATGTTTAAGAGCCATGTATGTTTCCATTCCTTTGACGTATTCACGCATCTCCTTTCTTCACTTTTCTTCCGTGTGTAACTAATGTTAACTGAGGCATCTCAGAAAATGTTTGTGTCCAGGACCCTGTATGTGGCCCTTCAGCTTTCTGGCATTACAAATTAGCCTCATGGGACTGTCCTTTCAGCGACAGCTCAAATGCTAACCCTTTGAGTCTTCAGCCATTCCAGTAACAGGAACCTGAGTGAAAGCCTCCCTGAGCCAACGCCACACCCCCACGCTGGGACACAGGCAGCAAATAGCAAAGGTGGTTTAAGTGGGTAGTGATTTAAACGTCCTCTGTACATTTGGTTTCCTTGCTTCTCTAACTTGGGGCCGTTTGTTTCCTGGAATTTTATGCTCCATCCCTCTGCCTGTCCTTGAGTTTCCGGTGTGTTTTTTCTCTCTTAAGTGAAGCCTTGATCATGTAATTATAACTCACATGGATACACCCCTTCCTGACGATGTGTCGTCACTCGCCCCGCCCTCACACGTGGCTGCTCGCTGCTCTGTCTAAACCATGCCCATGTTCATTTGCCCCGTGTGACAGTGTTTGAATACTGGTAATGATTTACCCCCTCCTTTCAAAGAACTTTTCTTTATAATTATTTAATCTCTGACAGCAAAGGAACTTTTCTGGGAGTAAACTCTTCCTTACTATTTATTTTTGATTGATAAATAAGAAAACCTAATGTGGTACATGTATGCTTTTTCTCTCCCTCTCTCTCTTTTTTAATGTTTTGTATTTTTTACACAGAACCAACGAAGACAACAGAAAATTCAAGGGAAAGTTCTTCATTTAAATGATGTCTATGCCATTGACCATCCTGAAGATAATGAATGTGAAGTTGAAATGTCACTTCAGGGAGAAGCAGATATTAAATCCAACCATCTCTCTCAAGAGGAAGTTGCACCTAAAGAATATTGTGTTAATCAGAAAGATTTGAATGGCCATGAAAAAATGATAGAAAGTATAACTGACAATCAAAAATCTACAGAGGAAGCAGATATGAAAAATATCAGTGTGGATAATGATCTGGAGGTTTTGGCATTGTCTGCCACTGAATGTCCTAGGAATTTAAACGGTGCCTACCTGAAAGACGGGAGCAATGGAGAAGTGGACATTTCCAGTGGTTTTGAGAACCTTAATTTGAATGCTGCTCTGCAACCTGATGAAATAAATATAGAGATTCTGAATGATGACCCTACTTCCGGGACGAAGGTATATGAGGTTGTAAACGAAGATCCAGAGACTGCTTTCTGTACACTCGCAAATAGGGAGGCTTTCAACACCGACGAGTGTTCAGTCCAACATTGTTTGTATCAGTTCACTCGAAACGAGAAACTTCGAGATGCTAATAAACTGCTTTGTGAAGTGTGCACGCGGAGACAGTTGAGTGGACCAAAGGCAAATATGAAAGGTATTTAGATGCTTTCACAGAAAGTAAAGTAATGTTCAGGGGAACAGTTTGCACTGCATCTAGTAGACTGTTACTGTTTTAACTGTGTCAGGATTTGGATGGAGTCACCAAGTCCTTCTCTGTGTAAACATTTTAATAGAAGCACGGGTAAGCAGACTTCCTTGGCGTCCCGGCGGCTCGCTGTCTGCTAGCACTGCCTGTGAGGAAGTCGTCCCACTCAGGGGTTGTCACCGCAGGCTCCTTACGGATAGAGGCTGTTTCCTCGTGTCCTCAGTTTGCCCTGACTCGTGATGCCCCCGTCCCCCTGCACCCAGAAACACACACTGGAACTCTGCAGTGTGGTGACGCCCCAGTGCAGGGTCCTGGGAGCACAGTGCTTGCTCACAGTCTTCTTCAGGTACAGAGGGAGATGTTCATAATGCCTCTCCTACCCTGAGCCCCCGCCTTTGTATTTTTATTTTTATAGATTGGGTAAGTAGGATAGGGAGGGACCACAGATCCCCAAGGGTTCTCAGTTGAATTGTTGAGCACTTGACAAGTCTTTTCCTCTGTTATTTTTATTGTTTTATTTATTCACAATTGATTTTATAGCATTTGTTTGCTTTAGTGCTGGTGTCAGTGGACTGTGCTTCCTATTTTAAACTTGGCCCGCCTCTTGTTTTTTTGTGATCTTTGAGCTAAAAATATTTCTTATAGATGGAACATTTGAAAATGATTTTATGGTAGAAAACATTAACTTTGAACCCCAATTATTACCTCTCCAAAAATAATTCTATTCTTTTCAGTAGACTGCAGTTGTACTCAATTATAATAGGTTGAATTCTATCAGTAAAAATTTGTGGAAATTTTCTCTTGTGTATTAATACATATAAAATAGCCTTGATCTTTGCCTCTTGGTTCAAAAACCTAAAATAGTATTTGGTTCTTTCCAGAAAACTCACTAATCTTTGACTTAGGTGTGTTGAAATGATTTTATAGCAGGTGTGAATGTTGAAGACATCTAAAACGATGCTAACACTGCTAACATTTGGGTCTTTCTGTAGGTGAAAGGAAGCATGTTTATACCAATGCTAAGAAGCAGATGCTAATTTCTCTTGCTCCTCCAGTTCTCACTCTTCATTTCAAGAGATTTCAGCAGGTACCCTTTGTTTTCTAACCAAAAATTTGTTTCAGATATGTAACACCTGCTTTGTTATTGTGTCTACATGTTAAGTGTGTGTGTGGTTTTTTGTTGTTTCTTAGTTCTGACTTCAAAGATGTAGGAAAGTAAAGCAGTGCTATGTGTGCATGTTCAGTCGCTCAGCCTTGTCTGACTTTTGTGACCCTATAGGCTGTAGCGCATCAGGGTCCTCTGCCCAGGGCTTATTCTGGCAAGAGTGCTGGAGTGGGCTGCCATTCCCTCCTCCAGGGGCTCTTCCCATCCTAGGGACTGAAACTGAGTCTCCTACATTAACAGATGGATTGTTTACCACTGAGCAAAACGGTATACATATGGGTAACACAAAAGGGTTTGATGAAGGTAATGTCAAGTTGGAAGAGAAATTTAGGCACAGTCCCTCCTCAGTTTTACATGTTGCTCTTTTTAGGTATCAGTTCAATTGCTCACTTGTGTCCAACTCTATGCAACCCTGTGGACTGCAGCATGCCAGTCCTCTTTGTCCATCACCAACTCCTGGAGTTTACTCAAACTCATGTCCATCGAGTCAGTGATGCCATCCAACCATCTCATCCTCTGTCGTCCCCTTCTCCTCCCGCCTTCAGTCTTTCCCAGCATCAGGGTCTTTGCAAATGAGTCAGCTCTCCGCATCAGGTGGACAAAGTGTTGGGAGTTCCAGCTTCAGCATCAGTCCCTCCAATGAATATTCAAGACTGATCTCCTTGGAGTCTAAGAGACTCTCAAGAGTCTTCTCCAACACCCCAGTTCAAAAGCATCAATTCTTCGGCGCTCAGCTTTCTTTATGGTCCAACTCTCAACATCAATACATGACCACTGGAAAAACCATAGCCTTGGCTAGACCTTTGTTGGCAAAGTAATGTGTCTGCTTTTTAATATGCTGTCTAGGTTGGTCATAGCTTTTCTTCCAAGGAGCAAGCATCTTTTAATTTCATGACTGCAGTCACCATCTGCAATGATTTTGGAGCACAGAAAAATAAAGTCAGCCACTGTTTCCATTGTTTCCCCATCTGTTTGCCATGAAGTGATAGGACCGGATGTCACGATCTTCATTTTCTGAATGTTGAACTTTAAGCCAACTTTTTCACTCTCTTTCACTTTCATCAAGAGGCTCTTTAGTTCTTCACTTTCTGCCATAAGGGTGGTGTCATCTGCGTATCTGAGGTTATTGATATTTCTCCCAGCAACCTTGATTCCAGCTTGTGCTTCATCCAGCCCAGCGTTTCACATAACATACTCTGCATATATGAGTTAAGTAAGCAGGATGACAGTATACAGTCTTGATGTACTCCTTTCCCAGTTTTCAACCAGTCCATTGTTCCATGTCCAGTTCCTTCCTGACCTGCATACAGATTTCTCAGGAGAGGTAAGGTGGTCTGGCATTCCCATCTCTTGAAGAATTTCCCACAGTTTGTTGTCATCCACAGAGAGGCTTTGGCATAGTCAATAAAGCAGATGTTTTTCTGGAACTCCCTTGCATTTTCTATGATACAGCAGATGTTGGCAATTTGATCTCAGGTTCCTCTCCTCGTGTTTTTTCTAAATCCTGCTTGAACATCTGAAAGTTCTTGGTTCATGTACTGTTGAAGCCTTGTTTGGATAATTTTGAGCATTACTTTCCTAGTGTGAGATGAGTGCAATTGTGCAGTAGTTTGAGAATTCTTTTGCATTGCCTTTCTTTGGGATTGGAATGGAAACTGACCTTTTCCAGTCCTGTGGCCACTGCTGACTTTTCCAAATTCGCCACTGCTGGCATACTGAGTGCAGCACTTTCACAGCATCATCTTTTAGGATTTGAAATAGTTCAACTGGAATTCCATCACCTCCACTAGCTTTGCTCCTAGTGATGCTTTCTAAGACCCACTTGACTTTGCATTCCAGGATGTCTGGCTCTAGGTGAGTGATCACACCATCGTGGTTATCTGGGTTGTGAAGATCTTTTTTGTATCGTTCTTTTGTGTTTTTGCCACCTCTTCCTAGTATCTTCCGCTTCTTAGGTCCATACTGTTTTGTGTTCTTTATTATATTAGCATCTTACTCGAACCTTAATTTCAGGTTTTAACGAGAAAAGACCACTTTACTAGTTATATCTCATACTTGGGAAATTTAGCAATGTGTGTGTGGTATCTTATTTTCACTGACCCTTAATAATATGGCATTAGTACCTTGGATTTCCATCTTCTTGGTGACTCCATCTTTTCTGAAAGACTTTTAACCACGAGCAGTACCAGTTGTAAATTCAATTCTAGATTTGCAGAGTATTTTCAGAGCATTTTCTCTCCTGTGCTTGGTGTCAGCTTGACTTAGCGGGTGCATCTTTATGAACAGTTTGCCAGGCTTGGTTAGAGTGAGGCTGAGAGTGTGCTTCACAGAATTCTGCTATTGCTGAGTTTTAAGCACTCAGAATCTCGTTTAATTGGGATTTTCTGGATGGTTAAAGCAGAACATTGACAATATTCTTACAGGAACAGCTTTCTCAATCTGGACTGTGTGTGGGTCTGGACTGTTTGTAGGGGTGCACTTGGCAAAAACCAGTCAACTGGAAGTTAGCAGTGAGGGGACTAGAGTCTTCTGAGACAACTGAACTGGGGCTGGATGTTATTGTCCTTCTGGGCATTGTGGTGGGTTGACAGTTTTCTCACCATGTACAGTTTTTCTGCGAAAAGAACCTAAATCTACTGTCCTTCTTTTTCAGGCTGGTTTTAACCTACGCAAAGTTAACAAACACATAAAATTTCCAGAAATCTTAGATTTGGCTCCTTTTTGTACCCTTAAGTGTAAGGTAGGTGAAACTTGCCTTTTTGGGGAAATCTTTTAGAGGAAATCAGCATATTACCAAATACTCCAACAGCAACTCACGTAACTATGAAGTTGGTTAAGAGCTGCTGAGTACACCAAGTCTTTGATCTTTGTACCTTTGTAATTTCAAGATCTGTTATCAGTCATCTTCAACATTCGGTTGTTACTTCAATATATTTTTAAACCCCTATTTGGCCAGGAAACTGATTATAGCAGGTGGCCTCTGGTTTATGGTTCTTCCAGCAGGACAAAGAGTGGCAGCTTTCTAATAAACACTTAAGTGTGATGCCACTCAGTAGGCTGAGAAAAGGGAGAAAATTCCAGTTCTCATGATTTCTGCATTCTCAAAGGTTAGAGACCTTTAACAGTAAGTTTAGTTACCTTGCCTAGAAATAACTTTTGAATTCTGTTCACCTTTAAAGAATGTTGCTGAAGAACATACACGGGTACTGTATTCCTTATATGGAGTCGTTGAACACAGTGGTACCATGAGGTCAGGGCATTATACCGCCTACGCCAAGACAAGAACTGCAAACACTCATCTCTCTAACCTTGTTCTCCACGGTGATATTCCACAAGGTAAAAGATTTTACAGAATTCTAGTATTCAGCAGATATTTATGGGGAAACCAAAAAAGGTTGAACTTGAATTTTTACATTTCCATTTAATTTTACATTTCCTTTTTGACAGATTTTGAAATGGAGTCAACCAAAGGGCAGTGGTTTCACATCAGCGACACGCACGTGCAAGCTGTGCCTACAGCTAAAGTACTGAATTCACAGGCTTACCTCCTATTTTATGAGAGAATACTATAACAGTTTCAAAGTGCTTTCTCTGGAAACGTTGATGGCTTTTATAATGGCTATAATAAAAAAGTAAAGACTAACTGTAAATCATGTTCACTTAACTACATGCTGGAAGAAATCATGTTCCCTGAGATACTGAAGGGAGAATACCTAAGAATTCCACAGTGGCTTTGTACTGTCACAGTGGTTTTTATCACTGCGTCCAGTTTCTGGAAAGGATTCTGAATTACTTAAGTGCTCAATAATATGTCTGGGTGGTGGTTTGCAACACATCAATAAAGTTAATTACCCCCCAAATTTGCTTTATTACTTAGAAGATTTTATCAGTAGTTGTACTGACTACTGAAAACGTTAAACTACTAGAAAACATTAAAAAGAGTTTCAGACTCTGGCTAACAAAACGTCAAGTGTGTTAGTTAAAACAAAATAGGGTATTTGATTTGGCAGTAACATACATGTAGTTCTTCTGATGCCAAGCAGTGGGCATATGCTGGGGTGTTGGTTGAACTCAAGCCAGTGTTTCCAAGGCACATATAACCCTAAGAGCCTTAATACCAAAACTGTCTAAACTTCCTGTAAGGTTCTCTATTAGAATTTCTTTTGATGAGTTTATATAAGGCCCAGTCAGCCATACTGCATCTAAATTCCTTTGAAATGCCAAAAACAAATTAGGCAATTTAAAAGTGTTATTCAGTGACCTCATATAACCAACATATAGTACCACATGTTCTGTAAAATAAGTTTACTTTTTACAGTGTTCTTTGCTTTTTTCAAACCTCCACGGATAAAAATTGCCTTGCTTAATTTATACGTCAAGAGGCATATTTTCTGTTGCGTCCAGGGATTGACAGACTTCCTATAGAGCACTTTCTTATAATTAGTAAATGTCTCAGAGGCCTTGCAGGCCACTTCATTTCTGTCATAACTCCAACTCTGCCTTTCCCTTGTAGAAAGCGGCCATAGACAGTATGTAAATACTTGATCACAGCTGTGTTCCAATAAAACTTATGTACAAACAGCAGGCCAGATTTATACTGCAAACAGACCCCTAATAACTTGGGTGACTTTCCTTAAGTGTCACAGTTTTTCATTAACAAGGTTGACACAAAACAGGTCATCCAGATCCAAGAACAGTGGTCCTCAGACAGAGAGGCTTCGATAGTAACGTTTATTGTATCATCCATTCAAGGATACAAGATACAAACACAAAACACTTCTTAATTTAAGGAGACTATGAAAACATCAGGCAATTCCTATAGAACTACTACAAATACAACCTCCACCTACAGTAAAAATGAAGCCATTCAGTCATTTTGGTCATCATCCCAGTCTTTCTTTCCACTTGGAGGCTTGGGCCCACCTGCTGGTTTTGCCATGATGATCTGCAAAACAAAATTCACAAGACTACACTTACAAACTCAAGCTTTAGAATGAAGAGGAAGAATATTTTTCTGAGCCTGCTTTGTTATTAAGCAATCACCAATGAGCAATCTGTTACTACATCACATACGGAACACTAGCGTAATGTTGGTCATCATCCAGCAGGTGAGCTTTACGTTTTTGTGGACATTAACAGCAACAAAATGCGCATTCATTAGCAGGAGGCCTTCTAAGACATGCATTTCAACAACCCAATGTGCAGAATGTGAGCAACATCTGCATGCATCACTGTCATCAATCAGTTTTGCACCTGATTTGCTATTTATATATGAGACTCGTCTTGCCAACCATCTTTATCCCAATTTCCTTGTGGTTTAGGAGCTTTAGGTCCACCTGCCAGTTTTGCCATTATAATCTAAAGTGGTTGATAGGTAAAATATAGATATCAAAGTTCAACAGTATTTCCTAGTACCTGAGAGCCTAGAAAATTTAAAAGTGTTATTCAGTGACCTCATATAACCAACTTTTACTTTATTTCCTAGTAAATGAGAGCCCTTCAAGTACAAGAATTGTGTTCATAAACGAAAGTCCTAGCACCTAGTTGCCTGGAAACGTACATGCCAGAAACCTCATTTATCTAGAATGCACTTACCCACCATTTTACAAGTATAGCCATCTAGCATTTTTAAAGGATTTGTGTTTGAACAGAAAAAGGTGGTGGTTGCAGCTTTGGGCTCAAATAAATTTGGGAGAAGTTAAACATAGTTGGCTTTCCACAGAGCAGAACTCTTAATCCCTGATTAGTACACACACACATATATATATATATATAAAAAATAAAACATCAAGGAATTTGGCATGAGTCTCATGCAACAAAATTCATAAAATATCTTCACTACCACCTTCAGTAGCGTCCCCATCCCTTTTTAGAAGCTGCTTTCATAAAGAACTTGAAATTCCTGCAATAACATTTTACCAACTGGGGATAAATTCAGATTGAATTAAAAGCAGTAAGCATAATTTTAGAACCTAAGTATACGTCAATTAAGATAACAGACTGATGGGCCTCTTTGCAGAGTTTCTGATTCCGTGGATCTGGGAATTTGTATTTTTAACAAGTTTTTAGGTGACAAGGATGCTATGGATTAGGGCACAATTTGAGAACTAGTAAACACCTGAACAAACACTAATCCAGCCCTACTACACTGTCCAATGCTGAAACTTTTCAAGTCCTTTTCTAAAATCCATACTATGCAAAATTACGTACAACTATACTGAAGAGTACAAGCTTGTTCCAGTTGGATGGGTTCCTCAGATAGGTATGTACAGAGTGCTAATGGCAAAAACAATGAACATCCTCTGTTAGGGTAAAACATAACACAGCCTTCCTAGGTTAAACCCAAAAATCAGAAGTACCTGTGTGAGAAAGGCACTTGTGTTATTAACACTACTGTCTTGCTTGGCTAACTGACATGCAAAATATTCCTTACAAACTTTCACTGTGAAAACTTACTGCCTATCCCATGCTTCAGTCTATTTAGCTTCTCCTGTCCCCTTCTACTTTTTCTTGGGGCCCCCATTATCTTTGCTTGCAAACTCCAAAACCATTTTTTTTCTACAAACAGTATGATGCACTGACATAAAAATGCATGATTACTAAATCCAGTCCATGGATATCCAGTTCCATTTCTGGTCATCTCACCTAGGAAAAGAGTTCTTTACCAAAGTGAAATCTGTTTTGCTATAATTACAGCCAACTGGTCCTTGCTTAGATCAATCTCCTTTCCATTTCTATGTACAACTATTTCCTTTCCATTTCTACCTAAAATTTGATTCTCCCAAAATTCGGCATGATTTTCATTTAATGGTTTTCATTAAATGGATTTACACTATGCCTCTAGCAATTACAATTTTCTACTCAATATTTAAAAATTATTCATTGGTTAATAATCACTCCTAGAATTCTGTAAGAAAATAGATTTCATTAAGTACCAGAAAACACCTTTTTGAAAAATTGTGATTTCTGATTTATCTCAATTTGAAATAGTCTTCACCACTTTTCCTCTTTGCCTAATTCCTCAAAAAATATTAGCAGAAATACTATGATAATTTATTTTAACACCTGAGGACCTTAAAACCCCCAAGACAACATTTGTCACAGAAGAACACTCTTAACCACCAGGCCCTGTCATCTCCACATTTCCTTGATGGTGGTACAAATAGTGGTCCAGACATTTCCCCTCAGATGCCTTCCAAGAACCTGAGTGGGTGCCTGAAACAGCACAGTAAGGACCCTATAAATGTAACAACACTCTGCTTTTATCACCCGTACAAGTCTTATCAATCAGGTACAATAAGAGTGTATTCAAGTTGGCAGCATCACTACTCCTGTACTTTGGGACTGTGCGCTAAGTCACTTCAGTCATGTCTGACTCTTTGCGACCCCATGGACTGTAGTCTACTAGACTCTTCTGTCCATGGGATTCTCCAGACAAGAATACTGGAGTGGGTTGCCATTTCCTTCTCCAACTTTGGGACCAGGAAGTAAAATATGTTGATCTGATCACTGAAATGGCTAAGAGACTGTACAGAGCGTGGATATGCTGGATGAAGGGATAGCTCATGTCCTGAAGCAGGAGAGCATGAGATTTCATCACGCTACTGATAACGGCATGCAATTTGAAATATATGAATTACATTTTTCTAGAATTTTCCATACAGTAGTCTGGCATAACAGATGACTTGTGGGTAAAATGAAACCACAGAAAGCAAAACTGCAAACAAGTGAGAGAAAACTGTAGTCTGCAATGTCTGCTTCAGGCTTTTATGACCCTTCCATATTCCATATGGAACTTCCTCTTAAAAAGGGTTTTAAGAAAAAAAGTCTTGAAAACTATGAATCTAAATGAGATTTATTTTACCCATTTCACTTCCCAAGTGGCAAAGGAGTCTTTCATTGGAAAAATAATTTAAATTAGCTGAATCAATACTTTCAATAAAATGTAAAACTATAATAGAAAAACAAAACTTTTTGGGGGGACTGGGGGGGGGGGAGTACTTTACTTTGAATAGGAAGAGAACTGTGTTTTAGGCCCATGAAAATATACTTTGAACTACATAAAAATTAGTATTTTTAAAGATCAGTATTTAATTTCTCACTCACCTGATCCACTCTGAGAACAGTGACGGCAGCATTAGTAGCCAGTTTTATAGCCCAGTATTTTCCCAGGTAAGTATCTAGAACACCAGCTTCCAACATGTCCTTTACAGCAGGAACTTCAGCCTGTCAATACAGAACTGTTTTTATGCTTTCATTCTAAAGGTTTATGTGAACATATTGACACTCAATAATAGGAACAGGGCTACTTAAATAAAAACTAGAAATAAGTAGCTAGGCAAAAGTACTACCCTATATACACTATAAAGCAGAAGGATAACTAAATTCTCTATCAGACAAACTATGAAAAAGAGTGTTAAGAAAATCCTGTGCTCGCAAATCAGAACATTTTCTGATTTTCCTTTTAATGCCTATTTTTACGTTGTACATTCACAAAATAAAGTTCACTTTTTTTTTTCTCCCAAATACCTCAATATCTAATCCAACGTTTTTATTTCCTTCTTGATGTACT